AGGACACTTTCATCGAGCATCACTAAGAATGGTGTCCGGAGACGGACAATGCTGGCCTGCTGTTGGACACGATCCACTCGACGGCTTAACGGCCTGATCCGCGGGTGGCATTAGCTTCTGCGTGCAGTCCGCCAAATGCGCACGTTAGCGCACAGTTGTCAGCCGGATTACCTAGGTAGACGCAAATATCTTTATCTTTCCTGGCTTCTGCAAATCGTCTCGGCCGTGAATGACAGCTATGGCTGTAAACAAATCACGGAAGCCATGTTTGGGGTTCTTCAGGTGTGGTTCCACTTCGTCCTTTTGTCCTTCTGGCATGGACATAGCGGACGGTTGGCTTCACGGGCGGAGACGCCACGATGAATCCGTCGCTGGGCGCTGAACAAAAGGCTGCTGGTGTTCCAGGAACCAGGGCGGTAGTGGAGGATGGGTAGTGGCGGCGGCGTGATCGGCACCTTGCTGTATCGTGTTAGCTCGAGGCGGCGACGGTGACGAACAATCTAGCAACGAGGATCTCCAGATAAGCTTGGGCCCCCGTTGGGCACATGTAGCGGTGGCTTGCGCAAGGTGTTTTCACCTGAGACCTGGAGCAGCTAGAAAGGACGTGGGCGAGCAGACGCATCGGACAGCGGGTAAAGAGGCTTCGCAAGTGTTCTTTCTGACAGGCCGCCATCGAAACAAGCATCTGTTTTTGGGTGCTTTCTCAGGTGGAAAGGCGGTAAGAGTGACGCGGGAAGGAAACATCGAGGTTGAGCTGTAGCCATGCCTATAGGCAGGCCAGCAACAAAGCGTCAACTTGACGAGAGACCTGAGGAGCTCGCTATCAGGCCTCTGGCATGCCCGATATCAGCAGGCGAAAGCCGTCAGCAAATGCTCGTGACATCGCAAAGGCTAGCTGGCAAATCCAGGGCTGGACGGTCTTCCCGGAGACTGAACCTATTGGATGTTTCGTCGACTTCGAAGGGTGCGCCACTGTCGTTCACGGGGGTCAAACTGAAGTCAGGTGGTATGCTGCGAAATCGAGCTGGCTTTATGAGTCAACGTTGGTCACGGCTAGACGCCATGGGATGAGCAACAGGGTTGGACGTTGCTGTCATAAGCTACATATCATGGAGAATTACCAAGATGATATTAGACGGCAGTGGGCATGAAGTACTTACGCCGTAAAGGCGTTCAGATGAATTGCTTACCGTAATCGTTGCTCTTGTTTTCCAACCCTACCCACCGTTTTGGAAACGCTGGGATGGAGTGCCTGAGGCATGCACCAGGCACACTGTGCCCGGTTAGCAAAGAGTTCTAAGGTATCCGTAACTTACCTTCAGGTGCTGCAACGGCTGGAGTGGAAGCTCCCCACTGTGGCCTGGCTCTTCCTGCTTCTGGACCGCGGAGGCGGGGGGAGATGGACTGATCCAGTGTCAGCTGCCGTGCAGAACCGGAAACTTCAAGAAACTGCTGATCAGCAGGGCATTCTATGACCGAGCATGCCACCGCACTCGTCTCTACACCTCAAGGAGGTATGTTATTCCATTTGATGCCTCACAAGTGCTCTTATTCTCTGACTCGTCCCCTTTTGGTTCGCCCAACCCGACAGAGTCCAACATCGATTTCCTCCGAGCAGGCATTGGACCGCCTGTCAGCACATACTTACCACACAGTGAGGCAGGCACCTACGGGCCTGCCTACCTACCAAGTAAGGTACCTACCCTGCCACCTGTCATTGGCTCAATTAGGATAGCTCCCTACCTTACCTATCCGTACCTACCTACGGCACCTGAGGTACCTACTGGAGCATTACCTCATACTCCAGTATCGCCGCCCACCTCTGACGCAGCCTCAACCCCACCTTTCCCGCCTGTTGTTACTGCAGCTGCAATCATCTTGCCGACCATCTCTCGATTTTCCATTGGATCCTTCTATTTCGCTGTTCTCGCTGGCTTTACACCTTTGCTGCACAGAGTACAATCAAGGGCCAACCTCCTCCCATCGCCCCGAGGGTCTCCAGAGCTCCCACAAAACGCTGTCATCAATGCCATGTCCCCAGACCTGAACTCTCTTCCACCTTCATCGCCCCCATCTCTCCCCATTCGATCCAGAATGTCTTCATCCAACGGCGATTCTCCAATGCCACATTCCGTACCGGCCTCTGCTGGCGCCCCAGCCCGCGGCGAGTCTCCCACTGGCTCCCCGCGTCGCCTGTCTACCTCGTTGCAGGCTGCCGCCACCATGAACGCGGGTCTTCAACACGAACCATCCAGACGTAAGTTGGCTCGCTCCTCAGCATGGCCTTTTGTAACTCACCTGAAATGGCATCTCAGGCTCATCGAGCGGCTCGCTCTCGCGAAACCGACAATCTCCTGGCGCCGGCCGCCGACGATCGACTGTTTTGATGAATCTGCAACTGAACGATCCCTCAGTTCCCGGTCCTGGTGAAATGGTCGCGGATAGCCAGCATACCCAACATAACAGCGGTGTCAACACTGCCAGCCCTCAGCCTATGGCAAGTTCGCCTCTCATGGTAGCCGGCGGTGATCCCCATCACAACCGTGCTCCTAGCTTGGGAGAGCTCCATCAGGAGCTTGAGGCAGAGCAAGAAGCCCAAGTCGTAAGTGTCCTTCTTTCAAGCCCCCTCCCAGTTGGATCTTCTGTTTCAGGGGCTGCACCAAGAAGCTAATGATAATGCCATTACAGAACCGGCTGCTTCACATGATTCGCCAACAGCAACTCCAACTCCAGCAACTCCAAGCCGCTCAAGGACAAGGCTCTTCCGCCATCGAAGACTCTGCAATTACCTCCGAGAGATCCAATCAGGGAACTCCTATCTCTCAGCCAGCCGCTGCCATACCTCCTTCGGGAGTCGCGCCTCTGCCCTCTTCCGGCTCCTTCTCTCGTTCCCCTGGAGTACCTCACCACCCTCGGAGCTCTTTCGACATGGCGAGAGTGGATATTCAACGTCGGTCTAGAACCCCGAGTCGCGGCGCCTCCCCCAGATTGCGATCAACCTCTATGAGCGGCGACAGTGGCGATCATTTTCTTCTCGGGGGCCGCGACGAGAGCGCATTCTACCAAGCAGAAACTCAGATGCTGGTTAGAGAGAATCAGATGCTGCGTCATCGCATTCGTGACCTAGGCAAGACTGCCCATGTGCGCGGTTCGGTTGTGGGATTCATGCTAACAGGTGTTTAGAGAAACAATTGACGGACTTGGTCCCTGGCATCACAGCTCACGGTAACCCTAGCGAGCCCGCCCATTCATCTCATCTCACGAGAGCTACTTCAGCGGGCGAAGAGGATCAAACCACTGCACGAACCACCCCGTCCATCGTCGCTGTTCCTTCTGCGGTCGAGGCGATCAAAGAGACGTCTTAGCTAAGCTATGGCGTGCAACATGATGTTCACAAGGGGAGCGCGCCTTGTATAGGTTATGTATAGGTTATGTTTCCGCGCACTCAAATGGCTTTCAAATCTGGTGTTCGGTGTCACAAATAGCCCGATATTCTTTTCTCACGAATGCGACGACATGGCAACGGCGTTAAGGAAGTACGAACCAGGGTACAGGTCGTCACCCATATTTTTTAGGCAGGCAGCTTCAACTCAACGGAAACACGGCCTAGCAACCATAACTACACACTCACGTCTTCTCATGTTATCCCGATGATAATAAAGCTCTAGGCTGTCATCTCGCGCGTGATATTATGAGGTACGTCCTGTGGTGATTACGCGAGAAGGCTGAACTTGGCCGGCCACAGAACAACCATGTTAGCACGTTCAACCACTTGGTATGGCTACTTGAGACTTGAGTGTGGTTCAATGGGTGGAGTCGTTCATGTGCTAGTCAATGAGAGCCTGTGTATTGATGCGTCTCGGGGTTTCTGACATCTTGTTTTCGCGAGAGAGTAGCGGTCGGAATCCTCGGGTACTCTCTATTGGTCCATCGTAGGTGTGTTCAGCACAATGCGCAAGATGCTTGGGGCAGAAGCTGAGTAAATGCGATTGATCAGCATAAAGAGATGCACGCTCACGGAGACTGCGTCGCACTGTAGCATGTCGTAAAAACAGGGTCGCACTAGGTGTTCAGCGCTTTCAAGAGCGACAGTACTGCGTAGAGCAGCCAGATTTACCCGATGAATGTAGGATGGCCTCTTCCCATTGCAAAAGGTGGGAAGCTCCCAATGCAGGAGATCATGAAGCACCACAGAGTGTCCACGAGCTGTTATACAATAGTTGGGTTTTGTGCTCATCAACCTTGTAACGTAGATGATTCGTCGCTCTGATGGCACATCACTCGTTCGAAAGGTCATTTCTTTCAGTAGAAGGACCTCAGTCAAATACACATTGAATTCAGTGCAGTTTCCCTCGGGGAACTACAGCTTGTCCGCGGCGAGCGACTGGTTCTCAGCGTCTTCCTTCTCTCACAGTGCAGCAGATTAGGAGTCCTGTGGCCTTGAACTCTGATCAGCGCTGTATAATTTGTTCTGCCTACTCTCCCCCGGTCTTCATCAGAGTAGGCCCACAAGTGGTGTCGTCGTCGTTGATTGAAGCCAACGAGTTAATCTGGTACGCAGCTGGTTGAGACACCGGGAGCCTATTGGGTGCCCCCTGCTAACACTTGAAGCGGACCCGGCGTCCCGGAAACACCCCGGCAGGTCCCCGGTGGCGTCATCGGCACTTTTAAACATCTCTACCCACTTCGAGAGCTCAGGCGTTCCAAGCTCTGCGAAAGAACCACCTCGAGTCGCCATTCTTAAACATGTTGCTGAGGCCGTTGTGTGCGAGATCCATCCATGGCTTGGGCCGGCGGACCCGTCGAGGCTTCTCATCCACGGCTTCGGTGAGAGCCGACTTCACCCACATTGTGAGTTTGGACTGTCACCGTAACTCTCGGACCCGCGTCGGAGGCCGCTCCGTTATGCCGGCGCACGCCATAACACGTAGAATTCCGCCACGCACGACGGCCCTTGATCGCCGGGTGGAACAAACACGAGAAGACACGGGCTAACTCAGATGACAAAACAGGTCGTAGGGGGCGGCGCGGTAGGTCTCGCAACAGCCCGCGCACTCGCCCAACGCCCGGGAACATCCACAGTTGTCCTCGAGCGCCACGGCGCTGTCGGCACAGAAACGTCCTCACGCAACAGCGAAGTTATCCACGCCGGTCTCTACTACGGCGCCGGTACCCTCAAGACGGAGCTCTGTATCCGCGGCAAGGAGCTCCTCTACGCCTTCTGCCGCGAGCGTGGCGTCGCACACGCCAACACCGGCAAGTGGATCGTCGCGCAAACGCCCGCGCAGCGCGAGGCTCTGCAGCGCGTGCATGACTTTTGCAGAAACGAGATCGACGTGCCCATTCGATGGGTCGGCGAGGAAGAGGCGCGCCGCCTGGAGCCGGGTGTGCGCGGCGAAGCCGGCATTCTCGACAGCCCGACGACGGGTATTGTCGATTCGCACGGCTTGATGGTCGGCCTGATGGGTCTGTTTGAGGATGCTGGCGGCGAAGTTGCGTTGACCTCGGCCGTGACGGGTGTGACGCCGCTGGGTGAGAAGGGCAGTCAGGGGTGGGAGGTGCGTGTTCGGGACTCGACCACGGGGGAGGAAAGCTTAGTGACGGCCGAAGTGCTGGTGAACGCGGCAGGTCTCGGATCCGTCGACCTTCACAACATGATTGTGCCTCTCGAGAGAAGGCGGGCTTTGTTCTATGCCAAGGGAAATTACTTCTCGTACTCCAGCTCGAAGCCAAAGGTCGGCAGGCTAATCTATCCGGCGCCCGAGCCGGGTGCCGGTGGTTTGGGCACGCATTTGACACTGGATCTCGCTGGGAGGGTGCGCTTTGGACCCGATGTGGAATGGGTAGACTCACCCAATGAACTGGCGGTCAACGGTTCACGGTTGCCCCTGGCCATTGAAGCCATCAAGAAGTACCTGCCGGAACTCGACGAAAGTTGTCTCGAGCCAGACTACGCCGGCATTCGACCCAAGCTAGGACAGTTGGGCGCTGTTGCACAAGGCACAGGTTTCCACGACTTCGTCGTAAGAAAGGAAGAGGGATATGAAGGCTGGGTGAACCTGCTCGGCATAGAATCTCCAGGCTTAACAAGTTGCTTGGCCATCGCGGAGCGGGTGGATAAGATTCTGTACGAATAAATTCTTTTGTCATTCATTCTGTGTTTGACCCAGTCTCGACCGAGATCAGAACAGTATGCCCCTAGATGCATATTATACATACAAGATACTCAGTGACGCTGGCAGACATGCATCAAAACACTCCTCCCAAAGTTGTAGTGCTAACCAGACACCGTATGACGCGACATACTTCATAACGAAATCGTTTCTGCTGTCAGCTCTCCTTCGCAGCTTCCATTTCAACTCCTCGAACGCCTATTCCGTGAAAAGAATCGATGGCAAAGGCTGTTATTGCCGCGATCTGCAACAGTACCCGTAACCGTAACGCCTGTGGAAAAGAGCGATGATTACAGTGACCATGCTTATCGCAAAGTTAAGTTCGGGCGGTACTTCCGCCCTTGTACATCGACGTGAAACTCGTAGATACCGTTTTCTGCGCCGACGTACCTAGACTCGTCGTCAGCACACGCCTGGTTGATGTGCCAAAGGTGGCCTTACAAAATGCGGCCGTCCTCGCTCCACGAGATCCCAGCCGTGTTGTCGGGCTCTGGAGGAGCCTCATGAACACCATGCTCTAGCACGACGCGTCGCCGAGCATTGCGCTCCTCTAGCTCGCGGATCGCAACGGAGTTGAGCAGTGGCAAAATTGAAGACCGATCTCTGTCACGATCTCTGGTGGCGGTGCGCAGGTCTTGAATATTACTTTCGAAAGACAGGCTGTACACAGCTTCCAAATCGGCCCATCCGCTACCGGAAGGCGTCAAGCTACGCAAGTCGTTGGCGGTTCGCTGGGCAGCAGCAGAAGAGTCACCGGGTCGAATGCTCGCAGATCGCCTCGGAGGATGGGCATTCATCATACCCAGCATGCGCTCTCGGTCAGGGCTCGACTGTAAAATAAGCCGATGGGCATTGCGTATCCGCTCTTGGGCCCGTTCTCGCGAGTCTCGGATATTACCTAAGAGATCCCCGATGGCGCGAGATACACTGCCAGGCTGGAAGTCGCTGCGCTCCCCTGTTGTACGGGTCGCATCACCTTGCTCTACCATGTTGCGAGACACACTACTGCTTCCCGCGCGCGTCGTAGCTACTATGATGTTAGAGTCGTGGTCAATCAAGCGGGGAGTAGCGGCGCCCCGATAAGAGGGTCAGCTGTTGAAGGGTTGACAGACTTGCCGCCTGCTCCGCCATACGGGCTGCTATCCGGTCTCTCTGCTCTCTTCTCCGACGTTCGTCTTGCAGAGCTTCAAGCACCCGCGTCTCATCGGGTGTCAAGGCCAAATGATGCCTCTCCGGACCTTCGGATCCTCGTCGTCGGCGACTTTCTCCAATACCGAGCGGGGCGGCAAAGGGGGACGGCGAAGCGGTTTCCCGCTCGCCACGACCTTCCAAAAGACGCGGATCAATAGTCGCGCGGTCAAGCACGGTAACGTGCTCGTAGTCGCCCTCCGCACTGATATCCAGTACTTGACGCTGTACAAAGCCAGATCTCAAGTCAGCTACGCCTACATGACCGCGATCTTCTGTCCACGCCAAGAGATCGTAAGGACCGGGGCAGAAAGCCATGTCACGGACAGCTCCAGAGCCTGCCATTGGTCTCGATGAGGTGAAAGATGTCAGCAGAGGATCGGTAACATCTGGATCTGTCAGCCCGGCAACATCATATATAGAGATGGTGCCGTATTGAGTGCCCACTGCCAGATATGCCCCCGTGTTCGAAAAACATGCAGCGAAGCTACCCCTGCTGTCGGAGCCATCATCTCTTCGTTGACTCTTCAGCAAGATCTTGCCGCACAGTTCCCAACGATGCTCGGCCTTGTCGTCCGCCCTGAAAGGACCATTTTCGTCGATGGTCGTCTCAACACGATGGTGAATATACAAGAACGGATCGTCCAGGATGGCGACGAGAAGCCGACCGTCGGGAGATATTACGGCACGATTGACGTAGTCCGGGTAGGTCACTACATCCAGTGGCTCAACTTTGTCCTGACCCTCGAAGTCGCGCAAGCTAACCAAAACCACAGTCTTGTCGTTATTTGCCAAGACAGCAGCGGGCTCGGTGTAGGCGCCATGATGCATAGGACCAGCGATAGGCGGGAACCACATAGTTATGCAATTGACGCGGTCACGCGCCAGCTTTTGACTCTTGGCTGTGTAGCTTTTATTCAGTCGACTGCTCATGTTCAACCGTCGTGACTGCGCAACGAGAGAAAAGACGGTATCTTCGGGGCGCGGTGAATCTGAGTCGAATCCGAGGGGTAGTCGAGCGTCGGGTTCCAGGTTCAGCTGGAGGTCAAGGTCGTTGCCGTCATCGGCGGTGCTTTCGAGCTGAATCGCCGTAAACTCGCCAGTCTCTCCCCCACAGCAAATCCATCCGCTCTCGGCAACTAGGCATCGTGGCGAAAACGAAAGGAACTTGACAGTTTCGCATTCCTTGGTGGTGGTGTTGAGACGCTGGACATGGTTGCTTCCAGAGCCTCCGGGGAAATATATTATGTTTTGCTTCTCGGCGCTGATAAGAGATCGTAGTTGCCAATGTCTGAAGATGAGAAGATCTGTCAGTATTGCCCGCATGTGACAGGGCGCATTGGAAAAGGTCGAGTATGACTGGGAGGACGCACTGGGATCGGACTGGAATGCGATAGTGCTTTCGCGGCTTCTTAGAGATCAGGTTGCTGGTCGGATAATATCTGCATTGGTGAGGAGTGAGTATGACGATGTACATTGAAGAAGGGTGGATGATGTCGTACGAGACGCCATCTTTCACAGCCATGATGGCCTATGGCTATGGGTCGGCCGGAGGAAGGGTCAGTAGGCGTGCATGTAGATGCGGAGGCACGCGGTATGGGACGGCGAGGGTGGTGTGTCGAAGAGGAGTTCGATTCTACGGGAGCACAAGGAGAAGGCGAAGATGTGGAGGGCAGTAGGCAAAGCTACCTAGCTAAGCGGACATTGAATGGTTGCAGGGTCGGATGTTTGGAGATTATGTGTGAGATGCAGATTGCGCGAGCGAGAGGCAACTTTCCGCATGACGTCCAGGTCCGTGTATGGCAGGAGGGGCCTGGCCTCGGTGACCTGTCTGATTTGATTACAGCTGGTTGGCTGGCGGTGTTGCGCTCTCGCTTTCGACAAGAGTTGCCGTGTGCACTCAGTGTCCCGGGCGTGGTGCCTTGCTGAAGGGTGGGTACGCCGGCCCCACGGGCGGGGAGTACACTACCTATCACTGGCTTCAGGTCCTGAACCACCTTACCTAAGGCAGGTAGGTGCCGACGGAACTGAGTGTGATTGGGAGCTTGGGCTGCCACCCGCTGCAACCAAACATATTGCCTGCTCAGGCATGGATCAAAAGCGATGTACACTACATAGTACACGCTGGAGGTAGGCAGTCGGAGCTCCGTCTGCTACGCCTGGGAGGGACTGGGGAGGCTTAGTCAAGGGCCTCATCCTGACGTGCGAAGTTGGAACTCCCATCTAATCAACTCCATCATCGATCTGAGTTCCGCAACAGACAGGCACAGTAACAGCGTGCGCTATACTTCTTTTAAAAACCGGGTAACAAAACCAAAGCTATACTTCTTCGCACCTCTGCAATCGACATTTCTGATGGCACCATGTTGCCGGTAGATACATAATACTGACTTGAAGTAAAAGCTATTGTACTGCACAAGCGCAGCATGCGCCTCCACAGCTTCTCAGTTCTCCGTCCAATGTTATGATTCCAAACTCTGTCGCCGATGGATCGTGGCCGAAGGCCCTTGTCAATGGTCATCGATACCTGGCTCCATCATCAAATCCGGATGAATACCCTTCGCAGTCAAGGTCTCAGCAACCACCTGGCTGCCAGTACGTATGTAAATTCAAAGGGAACTCGCGGACAATAAGCATGACGAGATAGACCCAATAATGAGCCAGAGGTGCTGGAAACGAATTGTCTGCGGCGCTCACGTGAAGATTGGAAGCACTACAAGAACCCAATTGCATCGTCGCATATCTGTTCCACGTCAACAGGAGCGCCACCCGTTGGCCTCACGAGCATTGAAAATTTCTAGTTCAGCTGGTCTGGCTCCGTACCCGGCGTTTAGTGGGAAAGCCCATGGCCTGCAATTGCCGGCTCTTCCCGTCTCTGGGAGGCTCCAGCATGTTCCTGCCATTCGTTCGTCACGTGCAGTACCTCTATCGACCTAGGTACTCAGCCCCTCATTGCTCAGTGTACGTAACAGGTGAGGCGACACCACTGCCACGGTTTTTATTATACACATTTTTTTTTTTCCTCTTCTTCTATTATAACTAGAAGTAGAATGTGAGTATCGACCTTGCACTAGGTACTGCGGCACCTACCCAAGATGCCCTAGTACATTACCTTAATGTTCGAGTGTAAGGTAAGGTACCTTAAGGTACGGAGCGGGGAACTTTACGGCCGGATTAACCCAAGCCGATCTGCCGGCCGTGCGGGATTCGGTCGGCTTCTACGACCGGGGGGGCAGGCATCATTTTCGGGACAAAAAATTTCGACCCTCCCGCCATCATCATTTCTCGCACCTCACTAATCCTCCCCATCCCTCCACCAACCCACCCGTCATTTGTACTCTATAACTACCGCTCGTCCATTTCTTTTGGCGCGCAGTTCATCTTGTCTCTCTTCACCTCCCTTTATACCCACACACAGCTAGGCAAGATGATGTCTTCACGCTTCTCCAGAGCTGTAAGTCCTCTCTCCCCGCGCATTGCTGCAGCGCCCAAATCAAAGTTTGCATTTCTAACCCACGACAGCTTCCCAGAGCGACCAGCTCAGTAGCCCGCTCGGCAGGCTTTGCCCGCCAGCCCTTTGCCTCCAAGTTTGCTCGCTATGAGTCTACCGCTTCTGAGGGCAAGGTCCAGGGCTCCGTCATCGGTATCGATCTCGGTACCACCAACTCTGCCGTCGCCATTATGGAGGGCAAGGTCCCCAAGATCATCGAGAACTCTGAGGGTAAGCCATTGTCCCAACTGAGCCAGCTGGAATATCACGGCAAAGGGCTGACTTGATAATCGCAGGTGCCCGCACAACGCCATCCGTCGTTGCCTTCGCCCAGGACGGCGAGCGTCTCGTCGGTGTCGCCGCCAAGCGCCAGGCCGTCGTCAACCCCGAAAACACCCTCTTCGCCACCAAGCGTCTTATCGGTCGCAAGTTCACCGATGCTGAGGTCCAGAGAGATATCAAGGAGGTCCCTTACAAGATCGTCCAGCACACCAACGGTGACGCCTGGGTTCAGGCCCGCGACCAGAAGTACTCTCCATCTCAGATTGGTGGCTTCGTTCTCAACAAGATGAAGGAGACCGCTGAGGCCTACCTGTCGAAGCCCGTCAAGAACGCCGTTGTCACCGTCCCTGCCTATTTCAACGACTCTCAGCGTCAGGCTACCAAGGATGCCGGTCAGATTGCTGGTCTGAACGTTCTCCGCGTCGTCAACGAGCCCACTGCTGCCGCTCTGGCCTACGGTTTGGAGAAGGAGGATGATCGCGTCGTCGCTGTCTACGACCTTGGCGGTGGTACCTTCGATATCTCGGTTCTTGAGATCCAGAACGGTGTCTTCGAGGTCAAGTCCACCAACGGTGACACCCACTTGGGCGGTGAGGACTTTGACATCCACCTTGTCCGCCACCTTGTTCAGCAGTTCAAGAAGGACTCCAACATTGACCTGTCCGGCGACCGCATGGCCATCCAGAGAATCCGTGAGGCTGCTGAGAAGGCCAAGATCGAGCTGTCTTCGTCTCTCTCCACCGATATCAACCTGCCCTTCATTACTGCCGATGCCTCCGGCCCTAAGCATATCAACCAGAAGCTCACCCGTGCCCAGCTCGAGAAGATGGTTGACCCCCTCATTACCCGTACCATTGACCCCGTTCGCAAGGCTTTGAAGGACGCCAACCTCCAGGCCAAGGACATCCAGGAGGTTATCCTCGTCGGTGGTATGACCCGTATGCCCAAGGTCTCCGAGTCCGTCAAGAGCATTTTCGGTCGCGACCCCGCCAAGTCTGTCAACCCTGACGAGGCTGTCGCCATTGGTGCTGCTATCCAGGGTGCCGTTCTGTCTGGTGAGGTCAAGGACCTTCTTTTGCTCGACGTCACTCCTCTCTCCCTCGGTATCGAGACCCTTGGTGGTGTCTTCACTCGCCTCATCAACCGTAACACCACCATCCCCACCAAGAAGTCCCAGACTTTCTCCACTGCTGCCGACTTCCAGACTGCTGTCGAGATCAAGGTCTACCAGGGTGAGCGTGAGCTTGTCCGTGACAACAAGCTTCTTGGCAACTTCCAGCTCGTGGGCATCCCTCCTGCCCACCGTGGTGTTCCCCAAATCGAGGTTACCTTTGACATTGACGCCGACTCCATCGTCCACGTCCACGCCAAGGACAAGTCCACCAACAAGGACCAGTCCATCACCATCGCTTCTGGCTCTGGCCTGTCCGACTCTGAGATTCAGCAGATGGTTGAGGACTCTGAGAAGTACGCCGAGGCCGATAAGGAGCGCAAGGGTTCCATCGAGGCTGCCAACCGCGCTGACAGCGTCCTGAACGACACGGAGCGTGCTCTCAACGAGTACGCTGACAAGTTGGACAAGGCAGAGGCCGACGGCATCCGTGAGAAGATTGCCTCTCTCCGCGAGTTCGTCTCCAAGAGCTTGGCTGGTGAGGGCACTGCCACCGCCACCGAGATTAAGGAGAAGACCGACGAGCTCCAGGTTGCCAGCTTGAACCTCTTCGACAAGATGCACAAGGCTCGTGCCGAGTCTGGCGAGCAACCCGCCCAGGACGCCAACGCCTCCGAGAACAAGGACGAGAAGAAGCCTTAAATGACTTCTCCGTTTCCCTCGGCTCTTCTTACCACTTCTTCGGGTCTTGAAAACAACCTGATGCGATGTTTGATTACGGCGGCATAGAATTTCTTCCCACTTGTTTGTATTCCATTGTACTCATAGTTCCGGTCGAATCAGACCATTCACTCTTCCTTGTTGTCCCTTTTACAATGATTGTTAATACCTGCGGTCGGCGGAACCGGCGTTGGAGCATCAAAAGATTCACACGAGATACCTTATGGTATTCATGATATGATCGACGGCATGGATGGATCATGGGGATAAGACGGGGTTGCACATGTACAAAACCAAAACGAATCCGGAGTCGTTAGATGTGAGATCATCTACATCCCCTCTCAAAACAAAAAATTCACAAACAAGTTCTCTTGCCACCGTTCAGCTCTGTGACATGAGCAAGCGTCCGAATTGCTGTGTGCGTATATGTTGAATGAGCAGCAATAGAGTGGGAGGGGGCCCTTCTTGAGTCCGGGTGACATTTCTTGCGCGAGGCATCATTGATACATTGTCCCACACCCACTCCAACTTGGCCATCTGCGGCAAGAGAAGTCCTATTGAACCCATGTTCCCATGGCCAGCGCTGGGTGTCCATTTTTCTTGAATTCAAGTCTCCAAGTGTCACATATCTGTCCAGTTTGAATTCTGGTTATTCTTTTCGAACAAGCAAAGTACCACAACACACATCTGCGATGCAATGCTTCTGAACATCACGTAGAAACGGAGCCAAGGACCGGATTTGGTATTCCCTTCTTTATCTACCGAAACCAAACCACCCCCTCTTCTGTGGCTGTTGAGACTTGCCCTCGCTCGCAACGTCAGGTTGCTTGCTGGACGGCGGTACCGCTTGCTGGGGCTCCTTGCCCGGGTAGTCAATGTAGTTCCAAGCAACGTCAAGGAAAATGGGCTTGACGGGAATCGTCGCCAGTTTGGGCGGAATATTGACGATATTGGCCAGGTCAACTCCGTTAGAGGGATACTCGCGAAGTCGCTCAATCAGGGGGATGGACCTCGTGTCGTCCTCCTTGGAATCGGAATCCTTGAGCAGGTTGGACAGATGCACAAGAGCGCGGTGGCGTTGCAGCTCGCCTTCCAAGAAGGTCAATAGGCCATGTGCGTCTTTCCCCGTAATTTCAATGTGACGGGGAGAGTCGGTAGATGTTTCGCCGAGCGCCGACGCCGCCTTTTGAGCTTCCTCGAATGCGTGCTTGATAAGAGCCAAGGCATTCACTGTGTTACCAATGAGAGCATGAGAGCGAGCGATGGAAAGAGACCTAGAACGATTAGCGTTGAACGAAAGATTGGAGAGCGAGCAGCTCACTTCAAGGCGCGGAAGTATCCAGCAAAAGCCTCGAGCTGTCCTGCGAGGCCTTCGTCGTTGGCTACTCCAGGCAGTTCCTTGGCGGCATCCAAGCTTTGCAGGGTTCCTTCGTAAAGGGCCACCAGTTCTTTCAACTTCGCGGCTTTGCGACTCGGCGTCTCTTCCTTGCGCTTCTTGACCGCTGGGTCCTTCTTAGACTTCTTCTGGGAGACACTGTAGTTCTCGACTAGGCCATCATCGCTTCCTGTCAGAACACGGTTTCGGCCAATCCGCCAACTGATCATCTCGTAGTTGACGGCAGTTCTAGTGATCTGCAAGCTCTGCATGCGGGGATCGCTCTGAGATACACCTTCTCCTCGCAAGTCGTCGATGGCTTCTTTTGTCGCATCGGCAGCATCTTGAGTGGCTTCGAGGATACCATCGTAGGCTGCGGCGACCTCCCTGGGTTCGGCGTCTGCGAGAGAAGGCCATCGCTGCGTCAATTGGGCCTTAGCCTCCTCTACCCTGCCCCAAGCGAGGGAGATTGCAGCGTCTTCGATCCTAACCTCCCGCGAGCGCCAGGTGAGCGTTCTGGGGGCATTCTCGGCATCGGTGTTATCCTTGCTGGCCTCACTGTCTACCTGCTTGAGCACATTGGGATCGAGATTATTGATTTGTTGGACGAGAGCCGAGTCGGATTGGGGGAATGCTCGCCTCGCAATGGCAGGTATCGGTATCGTTCGCGGAGTCTTCAGCTGATAAGCGGCATAGCGGATCGACGGGTCGATGGTGTCGGAAAGTAGGTCTTTGAAGACGTCTCCCTTGGTGGAGGTAGCCATGGCGCTGTATATGGCACGAGCGACGGCATAGCTTTTGAGGGAGGGCTCCCAGTGCTGATTCTCAAACATTGCAGCACCCCGGATCTGTGCAGCATAAGCTCGAGACTCGAGCTTGTCGTTCTCTGTAGCGCCAGCTCCGGACTGGGCCAGCAATTCGACGAGGTTCTCTGCGGCCTTTGCGGCCTTGTCGAGTCGGGATACTATGTGAGAGCGCGTCTTTCCAGTGACACCCTTCGCATCAGAAGTATGGGAGGATTTCATGGCCATAGCATTGGCCCAGGCGCGCTCACTCGTGAGCAGGAGAAGACGTGTGTACCTAGAAGCCGTCAGTGGGCCGGACGAGCAAGTGAGCGGAGGCGGGCGGCGCACTCATGGTTCTCGGAAATCTGGTCAGCGGTGATATCTGCCTTCTTATGGAATTTGCTGCGGTTCTTGGTTGTAATGCCCAGTTTCTTGCGACTGTTCAGTAGCTTTTTGCCTAGCTGAGTCTGGTAGGTTGTATAGTCTCCGTAGAGGAGAGCTGAGTCCCTTCCGGAGACGACAAATCTGGTGATATCCATGGTTTCGAAACTGCCGGCGATCGAAGTGTTCGTCCGTGATAGTCGCCGTCGTTGGGTCTGCGGAAGTCGTGCACCGCAGGGCTGACTAGGTAGGCCAGATGCTGTCGTGAAAAGGCCGAAATCGTAACTGGTCTGCGCTGCGCGGGGGCGGAAGATGGTGGGGCGCACACTCAGTTTCCAGTGTCCTTTCCACCCAAAAAAGTCGCACCCTTATGAAAACCTAGGTACTGGATGGATAATTAGGTACAGAGTACACTCGCTACACACTCGCTACCTATCCACCCTAGGAGGGCGTTTGGTGAGGTAAGCATGCCCGGATACCTATGGTCGCGTGGAATTTCCAGGTTTTCTCAGGGTCCATTCCAGCAAGCCGGGCCGGAAATGTTCCCCTCCAACGGTTCCATTTCGACATGCCCGGGCGCTCTGAAGGCGCTGGATTGGTCGAAGCTCCTGGGAAAAAAAAAAGTCCATGACACTGGACGATCAATGGGCTGATGATAAACAACACCTGTTAGCCGCAGACTCGCCCTGTTACTCAGTGTCACAAGGGAAAAGTACTGCCACAAGGCAAATCGAGACACTCTCTGTTTTCAGGCCTCTAAGTCAGATTTTCTTTGACCTCAAAGCCTGTCTTGTGGCACCCTTCCGGAGGTGTCCGAGCCGCCTCAGGCAATTGTTTTCTCGTCGTCGACGTCGTCGATTCCAACCGGGAGCCCATAAAGATACTCCACCCCCAAAACTTTTTCCCGCCGAACGCGACGAGCCCGAGGCCTACGACGACAACTCCACGACCAGCATGTTCTCAAGTTCCAGTCTTTTCTACGCTCGGAAGTCATAGTCGACAGCTATCGCTGCGTTGACACCCTCATTCCCAATGCTGGAGAGAACGGCGGCGACTCTGGAATCGTGCACGACTCTTCATGCGCTTCCTTCCGCCACTCACTCTTTGAGAAGTCGCCGAAAGTTGCACACCGGCTTTTGGCAGCATGGAGCTGCCCCCATAGACATCCACAGCCCTGTGCTGTCTGTGCACTGCAATGAGCCAGACTCATCCGCCTCAGAGCCGTCGTCCTCCTCGCCCTCTTCGACACCTGCGCCGTACGATGGCCTAGTTGCTTCCACCTTCCTGCTCGACTTCCTATACCCCAGTGGAGCCGCTGCCCTGTTGCGCAGACTTGCTCACGGTATTAATGACCGCCAGCCGTCGTCGATACAGAGGCTACCTCGTAGGTCTCGGCTATTCACCTCGTCCGCTGTTGCCGCCACCGCCAAAACTCCAGAATCGTCACAATCGGACGCTTCCGATGCTTCTTCGCGATACAGCAAACCGGAGACACCAGTCGATACCAACACGAGAAGTACATTGCGCGCTCGCCTCAACAAAAGCGAACACGATAATTCTCAGGGAGACGTAGAACGGCGAAGAGATGTTGAGGAAGACGTTGCGGACGACAGCAATGCACACGGCTTTCCGGTTATTCGCGAGGTCGATGTCATAAATACAACCAAAACCCATAGCGGCCCCTCTTACGCCGGCTATGGATCGCGACCCGATCTGATGAGGGACTTGATGGCAGTCGAGCAGACGGAATACTTTGGCTCAATATGGCAACTTTATTCCCAGCTTGAACCGCAGTTACAGCCAACATTCTGTCCGGAAGTTATAGTCTACCTATACCGATCCGACAACCTTTTAGACGCTCGCAGAATCATTCTCCTCTTCTCTCAGCTCGAGCGCAGCCAATGGACGCCAGCGGTTCTTTCATCCGTCGTGAACGCCAATTTACGTCTCGGCAACGAGCGTGAAGCTCTTGAGCTTTACCACACAGGCCTCGATGAACAAACGATGGTTGGCGGACTTGATGATCTCCTTCAATACGGCTTCAGGAAGGCGAAATGGGATTTTGTGAGACATGTTTGGACATCATACCATGTTGTTTTCAAAGCCCACGGGATCAAGTGCGGAAAATTGGAACGTCTGGCAGCCGTTCCGAACCTTGGTGACCTCGCAATTCAATTTTCCAAGGAAATCGACACCTGGTTCACCGAGAGCCCAGAGAACACCGAAAAGGTCGACACAATCAACATTCTCAAGAAGAAGGTGGCGCGGCGAGCTCTTCAGCAGCCTTGCAAACCGAATGAGGCTCTTCCATTGCTGAGGATCGTCGATCAAGTAAAATGGTACACCATCTACCTGTCTGAGGCCGTCCAAAGAGGCCAAACAGAGTGCCTACCAGAAATATACCGCATCTACCGGGCATTCCCTGGCACGAAACCCTACTGGGCCATCCTGCACGGTATGTTCGAGATCTTCTATCCTAATGACATAGAGGGTCTTGAACAGGTATACGAAGACTATCACACTTCTTACCAGGGGTTGGATCGATGGGGTTTCCGCAAGTTTCTCAAGTTCTATGCTGCGCGTGGCGATATCAAGTCTGCCGAGCGTTTGTGGGGCCAATACGTCCAGTCTTACCAACATCGCCAGGTCCTTCAAGAGCCGGAAACCTTCAACCATTTGCTGAATGCTTATGCAAACAATGGAGATCCCGAAGGTGCCCGCAGAGTGTTCGATGAAATGAGGGACCGCTATGGAGTCACTCCCAGTATCTACAGCTGGAACATCCTGCTCAAGAGCTACGTGCGCTCGAAATCGTACGATGGCGCCTTGGGTCTTTTTGACGAGCTCTGTGTAGCAACCGCTCCCGACCAAACTTCCTTTGCGACATTTATGTCTCTTACGGGCAGAAGCGGTGACCTAGACATGACCTCAGGGCTCCTTGAGAAGGCGGTGAAGAAGGAAGTTGTGATCAACGTACCCATCTTGGAAGCCATGGTACACGCTTACTGCCAGAACAAGAAGTTCTCGCATGCCCTGGCAACCTGCGTGAATGCCAAGAAGCAGCTGGTTCCGGGAAACCAAACGCGACTATGGAACGCATTGCTGTTTTACCACTCAGAACGTCGGGCTTTCAACGAGTTGTGCCGCGTTCTGAAAATCATGGCCGAGATGGGGATAGAGTGGACGTCAACCACCCACAATGTACTGCTCCAAGCACTGGTCCGTTGCAAACAAACTCACCACGCCTACGATTTGCTTCGAAAAGCGCTGCGAGATAAGAGCTTTGAGCTCACACCAGAACACTTCTCTACCGTCATGGACGGTGGCTTGCGTACGCGGGAGTACGGGCTGGTCACTGCCACGGAAAGGATGAGACTGCGTAATGCTACAGCGCGATCTGTGGATGCTCTGATCCGACTGGTGGAGGCCATGATTAGGCGGCAGATATACAGCACACTGCCGACAGAAGAAGACGCCGGCAAAGCCTTGTTGGCTTCGTCGTTGCAACAAATGATTGAAACCATCGATGGAAGCAATGTCCCGGACAGTGTTCTCAGTGCGTCACTTCGAAGCGCGGACTCACTCCACCGTCTGCGACGCGTGTTACCTAGAGCCATTACGCTCTTTTCACGGTATCGGGACTTCCGTTTGGTCAAGGAGCTTTTTCGTTTGCAGACAGACTTTGGGTTAGTGCCCGCCCCACAGAGCTCTGACGACCTTCCTTTGAACATGCTTTGTGCGTTGTTGAAGGAGAATGTCGAGGATCAGAGCTGGGACAAGGCCAAGGAAACATGGAAGCTCATCTGGCAGCATGCTCTCCGGCTTGGATGGCCACAGACTCGAAAAGGCTCTATGAACGGCAAGGTGATGCAGCGACACGCAGTTATGCTCTCTGCCCCAGTCAATACGATTGCAAAGATGTACATGGACCAAAAAGACCCTGATGGATTCAAGAAACTTGTCGACAGCGTGTTGAGTGCTGGCTTCACCTTCGGCAGGCAAACTATGAACGCGATCTGCCAGACTCTGGCCAGACTGGGCTACTGGGCAGAGGCCTGCGAGTACTGCGAGAAGTATCTAATGCCGGGCTTCAGCGGATGGCAAATGAAACGTCTCAGGAACCGCCACAAGAAGAATTTGCCGCTTGAGCAACGAAGAATAGGCAGTGCGCCGCAGTGGCTACGTCCCACTTCATACACCATCGTTGTCCTCGCGGAGGAATACATGGAGATCAAAACCATGATGCCATGGTCCTCCGCCGCCGCAGAAATGATCCACATCGCCAGGGACAAGTTTCCTCGCGTCGTGGCAGCCATCGACACAATCACATACACAGGCATCGGCATTGAGGTGGATGTCTTTGGTGACAAGAAGCTGTCTACAGGCCGGGAAAGGTTGGAGCGAGAGGACACCACCAAGGAGTATGCTCAGGAGGAAAGCCGACGGCCAAACTCACCTGGAGCCAGTAATTCAAAAGAGGATGGCTTCACCCAGCGGTTCGAAGATCGTATATAGACATGCAGATTCCGTGCGTAACCGACGTAAATGGTGCGAGGGTGAAAAGAGTTATATATCAAGCGTCTATAGATTATGATTGAACTCTTTTTGACAAGAGATGTAACAATGCAACTTTTCTTTATTGAAATCCCCAAATCTACTTAATACACACTATCTTCCAAATCCTTACAAGAAATGAAATAAAAAGGGTCTCACGAGCCGGTCGTTCGTGTGTGTTTTGCATAGGTCATTGCTTTGGCGTACGCATGATGTCTTGCACCTTTCCCACCATAGTGTTGCCCATTCCTTCATTCCGGGCATCTCCACTGGCTATACCGAGCCGGCTTCTCTGCATAACAAACAACGCAGCCGTGGGCGCGTCCAGGCTGTAGTTCAGATGGGGGTCGAATATAAATTGCCCACCCTGGCAGATGTTGTCGCCTGTGTGGCAGACCACGAGTAGCCGGGTCGAATCAACGCCCTGTATCGCTTTTCCACCGAGCGGATCGCCAAAGAGGACGACGCTCGATATTTTGGCCTGCGCATCTGCCGGCATTGCCGCGATGGCTAGACGTGCCACCTGCGACCCCTGAGAGTAGCCCGACATCGTGAGCTTGGTGTTTGGACACATGGAAAATGTTTGCTGGGCCACCCGGGTCATGAAGGCCGCGCCGTTGGGGGAACCTCCGGCGAAGAACCCGGCGGCAATGGCCGGGTAGTTATTCACGCCTTGCACAGCAACCGTGCCGGTGCCGTTCATGTAGGTTCTGAGGGCGTCGAAGAAAGGGGGGCCGGTGAGGAAGCCCACGTTGCCTGGCATGTTGTGTAAGTGCTCTTGTTTCCATGTTTCAGTACCCCTGGCAGGCACGACTCGTGGCTTACCGGGCTCATTGGTTCCCCTAGCAAACACAATGGCGACATCGGGGCATGTGACGGCCTTTGCCGTGCTGTTGTTCATCAGAGGCATTCCAGTCGTGGTGTTCAGCCCCAGAATGGTGGTCAAGTCATCTCGCAGAAGACCGTTCTCGTCCACGGTCTCTTTCAGGGCCCTGACGACTTGAATGGTCGTGTTGATGGCCTGATTAACGATCCCCGGCACTGCGTCGAGTATGTCAAGGGCGCCAGAGAGAAGACCGGATAAATCTCGCTTCTCCTCTACGCTGGAGCCGGCGGCGTTGACATCATTGTCGCCGGGCTTCACGAAGATGTCTGCTTGGGGTATCGACAAAGCCGTCGTCTGCCGGCATAGCAGCGCCGCCGACAAGAAAACTCTTGGTCTCATCGGGGCCTGTTGGAAGAGGAAAAAAGGCGTTGGCTTGGTAAATCCGGTGAGAGAGTTGTGCACTCGCCCGGCTGAGGCGTGTAGACAGTTCGTGAGCAAGCGGACGATCTCTAAAGGTTTGGGCCAGATCTGCAGAGCCGCAGGCAGACCTAGATTCGATCATCCAGATACGTGGGATATCAATTACGAAAAAGGATTGTAAGATGGGGGTTCGCCGGTGTATTTCAAAGCTGTGACGTTTGCTCATGGAAAGAGTGAGTTGCGTCACGTAGCAACGCATCACATACAGTCATGGGCCGAACAGCAACGTAATGAGTCCGCGGCAGCACGGCATTACGTGCGTTGTTCGGCCCAAACAGCTCAACACCAATGGGCCGGGCTAGGCTGCCAATGGCCCTCAGCTGCTGAGGTCAGAGAATCATCGTTCTTGGGGGGAGCGACTCGTAGTACGAGTACGCTCAGCCCCAGTGGCCCGAAGGCGAAGGTGTTTCATCCGCTGCGTCCTACGGCGCGAACATGCCGTATGAAACCATCTGATGTTGATAGCAAATAGACAGAAAGCCCTCACAGCACAAAGGCAAAATGCTGCGCGAGGACCTGCGAGTACGCCAGGTTGGCATTTGGCAGTTGTCGGAGGTATTTGAGAAAACGGTGTTGAGGTTGAGGGCAGCGCATGGCATTGACCCCTCTCTGCTACTCGATCCGTTGCTAAGAATCGTAAAGAGCCCTCAGTAATCGAGAATCCATCATGGCACTTGGAAAATCCTAGGTGGATCTTCAAGAGTTAGGATTTACGCGTGTCGACGACTGTGACGATGAGCTGTAGTTGCATTTAGCTCACCTTTTCGACTGCGTTCAACGGAGTCCGTGTAATCTAGGATGCACCTTAAAGAGCCAAGACCGCGGCCTCTAATTAAGGCGCTGATCCTCGCATTCGGAACCGGACACATAAAAGCCCCGTAGGGGAGAGTAAAAGTCCGACACAGCTGTGCGACTAGATAGGTTCTCGGTACAGCCAGCACCTCAGATGACGTTCAGCGCTGAACCACGATTGCCGCCTACCTCGACCGTGACCGGGATTCTTCAAAAATTGCTTTCTCAACAGTAATCGTATTCTCTATCGACAGCGCGGCTACGAGCACACGCGGTGAGTACACTGACGCCCTTCTATGAACCTTTCCTTTCCCATGGAACTCCTTGATCCGACCCAATACATCGTATAAGCAGGGGAAATAAATAAGTAGATATAATATGTACAATGCAGGTGTGTAACTTACTCTTGGTTCTCCTGGTTTCCCAAAGACACTCCGCCCTGGTTCTGTACTCCGAGAGACCGAAGTCTTTGAGAGAGGAGACCTTCCGTGCCACCCGGGCTTCCGCGCCCCGACGCATTAAACACATTGCCACCGTACCCGACGTCACCTGGATTCAACTTCTGGTATTGGGCGACCTGAGCATCCCAGCTGTCTTTCGTCGTCGGTCTACTGGCTTGTGATGACTGCGGCGATCGAAGGTCTGCAGTCTTGGTGGAGGCATTAGTGCCATCGCTGATGTCACTTCCTAGGCGAGCCCGACCCGAGAGAGCGAACGGAATGGGCTCTAAGGGCTGACTGCTGCCGGCAAAATTAAATGGTGACGGGGAAGACTGCTGGCCGGGCATCGTCTGCGGAGAGTGAGAGAGCCCGTCGGTTGTATCAAGGGTGTACATGGAAGGGCCGAACGGTATGCCAGAACTCCGCCGTCTGAAAGCCTTATCAGCTGCAAGTGTTGCAGCAGGACCGCTGCTAGTGACCATCGGCGGGTGCATCACACGGATTGGCTTGTAGGGGGTGTACCGAGGCTCTGGGCAAGTTGTCTCATTGCGTAGCTTTTCCTTGCCGTCAGGGACTCTGTTTGCGAAAACGATTCGAATGCTCTTGTAGAGATAGTAGCGGCCTCTGGCAGGACAGCAGATGTGCAGATGCACAAGATACCTCAAGATGGGCTTGTCAGGTCCAACGGGGTCCTCCAACCCAGGCGCGTTCTCGATGATCGGACCGGCCGAGTAGCTGCGCTGTCGGATGAACGTCTTGGTTCCTGATTCCATCCCTACCAAATCATAAGGCACCAAGAACAGCTTGACAGCCGTTTTGTTGGGATTCTTGATTACGATTTGGATCTGACCCTTTCCAGGAATCCGATAGCTACCGCCTGGAGGAGCTCTTGGAGAACCAGATCTCCGTCGCGAGCGTTGCGCTTTGTGTGCATCGGGGTCTGACCCATCTGCCACTGAAGAGCTGTTCCCCATGGCCACGTCGTCTTCGGCGATTCTTCGTTCGGCAACCCTGCTCTGCATCTTCCTCTTGGCCCTGTGGCCCTCCCCTGAATTAGATAGGCCATTCTCCAGATCAATCTGACCGACGTATGGACTGGGTCCGTCTTCGGCGTTGACGCGCCCTTGCGCAGCGCCTCCATAGCTGTAGAACACCGCCGGGAACGGCAGTGTTACATGCGCCGGACATCTCAAGCTTGATTTGCACTTGCCCAGGCCCAGCACTCCGATCTGAGCGAGAAAATCAAGTGGTTTTGACGGTGTGGTTGACATGCGACCCCGCAGGATACTCTCCTCATAAGAGCCGACCATAGATGCATGCTGCAAAGGCGACGCATCCGGGTTATTGAACGATGGCCGTCTCGGTCTCAAAAAGATTGGCGTTTGAGGTGACGTTCCAGTGAGGAATGGGGCATTGGGGGCTGAAGTAAGGGAGCGGCGAGGCTGATGTGCTTGGTAAGGCAAAGCGACGTTGCCTCGCTGCGAAGCTCGTCTATGCAGGTTAGAGGAGCTTGGTGACGGCAAAGCGAATGGAGATGAAATGGCAGAGTGCAACGTATGCCGGCGACAGCCCACTCCCAAGGGACTTGCGGCGATGTCGATGCTGTTCAGCGGTAGTGACAGGTCAAGATCGTCATTACTCTCGGACTGGACCAAGGGACTTGTGGGAGGCTTATAGACAAAACTGGAAGAAAAGGACGAGGACAAAGACGACGGTACTGATCTGAACTCGTCATGCGACGGAAACGATATCCTCCTATCAAAGTGAAACGACGAAAAGTCTCGAGGTGGCGACGTCGCGATCCAGGAAGTGCGAGACGTCGAGAAATCATTGGTCCCCTGATTGCCGTCCACCTCTTGCGCCGTCTCTTGACTTGACCTTGGCTGGTCCTCGGTAAAGTCGCCGCTGTGTAGAGCAGATCTCGGCCTCTGTATGCTCAACCCCTCTCGTAGTCTCTCATCTTCCTCCTTTGATCCGTCGAGTTTCTCTGGGGTGATGTCGGCGGGAGGTAGGAGGTTGGAAGAGCTCGACTGCGGGCGCGATGTCCGGGGAGTGATCGGGTGACTTGGGTTACTGAAAAGCGACTCAAACTGATTGATATTGTGAGCAAAAAGACTGTCTCGAGCGCTTCTGGGAGTGCCTACATGGCGATTTGAAATCCAAGTCGGGCTCTCTCCTTTCTTCAAGCGCTCAATCAACTCGGCTCGATCGGACGTGACGGCAGCAGCATCGGACTCGGGGGTCGAAGGTCGGGGGCTTTCGAGTATGGGTCCTTCGCAAAGCTCCGTCCGTATGCTCTCCTCGGATAGTTTCCTCGTCAGGGACGGGAGGATGGGCTGTTCGCATTGTATGGCGATCGGCTGTGGTGGTTCGGCATCCGGAGTGTCGGTGACATTCTCCGGGTGATCGAAGTCGTCCTGGAAGATGGGCATTTGCTCGGTAAAGGATTGGTCTGAACCACAGCGGTGCTGTGGTTCAGAGCTGTCGTCGGGTTCGCAATGTTGGCGGTAGTTTTTGGGCAGAGGCAGAGATCGGAACAGCCATGCCTCGCTTGGATCGTGTTGTCGGTCTTTGTTAGGTGGTTTGATGGTGTTAGTCACCAGGTTGATTATTCCTTAACAAATGGCTGCGACAAAGCGAGGCGGTAGGACGTCATAAGTGTGTAGAGTAGACCGAGACGGGCCGCGACACCCCGATTTCGCTCCCTGTCCCTGGCTTGGTTCTGAGTCAAGCAAGGGTGCCGGTGGTTTGCCGGCGCAAATAATTTGACGAGAACGAGGCTTTCTTGGGATCGAAGAGGAAAGAATTTACGGTAAAAGGGAGACGGTGCCGCAGACTAGAAGAGGTTGGCGAGTTGCGGTCAACAGTGCGCTCTCATCCCGCAGTGCATTCTCCCGTCCTGGCTGCCTCCTGCACCTGCCGTTGCCGTTCGTACGAGTTCCAGGTTGGGTACCTACGAAGTAGGTAGCTAGCTGTGGTCAGCTGCACAGGACCCGAAGTAGCGACACTGCACTACTCCCAGAGGGGCCATGGGCCCGGGGAAAAGGGTCCCTTGGCTTGCCCACCTCACCTCCCTCCGCCGACAACCAACAGCGGTGGCTCCCACTTTGGCGCTGGAAAGTCCCTTTTGGACCGGTTCCAATGACTGATAAGCCAACGCTGGCGTATTGGATTCTCCACTTGGACAATCCTGCATTCACTGGCGGCATTGATGAAGCGAATTAATTCAGCAACACTGTGCACAACTTCCTTGATTGCTACTGAACCGCCCAAGATCCACCTTCTGAGCTGGCACTTGACCTTGAGTCCCACTCATTGTCTACCGATGTGGGTTGTCCTCGTTGATGATGAACGATGCGGTTTCCAGCCTGCATTGAGTCTGTCATGCCAATCCGGCCCATGCAAGCACAACACAGCGCAGCATATCTCAACCTAGCTCGTGCTGTATCCATATCCCAAAACCAAAGCACCCAGCGCCCCTGGCCACCGGCAGAAAGCAGCAGTGCCGCCGTGCCACACCCGACAAGTGACTTTTCTGGGCAGCAAGGAGGGGTCATATCGTAGTTCAGCCCAACGATGAGGAATAGAGGAGGAGAAGAGGAGAAAGAGGGGAAAGTCGAATCAAACTCCCTTGGTTGTTGGCAAAGCTCTCGGCTGAAACACACCGTAAGCCTTGGGCAGTAGATAGTTCACGCCTTGACTCGGATGCAACTCTGCTTTGCGAAGCCTTAATCCTACCTGATCCCGCTCGAATCCATCAAGGCTTGCATGACAGCTGCGTACTGTCCACACCTTGCAGCATGTTTGCGCCGTCCGGACCGCGCGATGTATTCATCCTGTCGGCGACAACCCGTTCTCGGCCCCGCAGTGGGTCTGGACAAACCGTGTGATCGTAATGAAGCCGACTGTCCCGCCCTGCGACAAAACCCGCGCAAACCTATTTCGACAACCTCTTTGTCAAAGGCGCCAGAAAAACCGCGACCTGTACCTCTAGTTCAAAGACTACAGCTCGGGGTTATGGCGAACGGGATATGATCCTACACTTTTCAAGGTGTGCAGTAAGTAGTTTGTAGCCATGGACGCTTTCACATTTCATCCCGGACAAAAATGAAGATAAAACTCGGCCTCTTCGTAGGAACTGGGGGCCATCACAACATCCTCTTAGGCACGAACTGGCCAGCCATCACATTACGACCGAGATCCAAAGGAAAGAAACACGGAAACGTCGGTATAAGGGGTATCAATTCTTCTTGTTGCTAATGCTTCCTATGCGCGTTTGCCATCTCTAGGCGACAACTTCATCACAAGTGTCGTCAATCCACTTGAAGCGTAAACGAACCTCGCAACTTTGTCCAACGCCCTCCAGAGCCACCTTGGGCATTCATGTACTATAGCACAGTGATGATCATCAGTCATGAGTCTCGCCTGCTTCGCTCCTATGCAACTTCCCATGTCGAAGAAAAGCTCTACGCTTGTCGCGAGGTGTTTCTCCTACTCAACCCCCCAATCGTCGTCGTCTGCAACATCGTAGTCCATTTCAGGCTGTTGTTCAGGTTGCTGGTCAAGGGTGATCGCCGAGGACCCATTAGGAGCGGCGTTGCCTATGGCCACATCCTGGTCCATCACCCCGGAATACTTGGACGTGCCGTTTTCCGCCGCATTCTTGGCCGACACAGGCGGTGTCGCAACCCATGACAGCTCAAGCTTACAATCGACGCCAGGTATCTCATGATTTGTCAGCCCGTAATAGAACTTCTCGGCTGTCTTCCGATCTTTGAAGGTAACCTGGGTATTTGAGGGCGTAGTGTTGATGTCGGTGAACTCTCCAATGCCCTTCACGAAATTTCGTTAGCATATCTTGCGCACTGATTAGAGAATGCGCCTACTTACGAGAAGATACTGCCGCAGAGCCTCGTCCTTCTCTGGTGAGGTGAAGTCTACACCAGTAACGGACACGGTCTTGGGACGGTTGTCCAACGAATAAGCCGCATACGCGGCGTGCACATCGCCTCTGTATCCGCCGCGGTATGATCCTCTGCCCCGCGGAGCGAAGCCTCCTCGCCCGCGTGGCACAGATCCTCCTCGACCTCGTCCTCTACCGCGGCTAGCTGCGTACCACGGAGTTGGCTCATCCATCGCGCTTGGGTCTAGACCAAGGAGCTTAGCCTCGTCTTCCAGAGCCGCAAGCTGGGCCCGAAGAGCAGAACTCAATGATCCCGCGTCCTCGTCGGGATTTTCTGGGCTTCCGTGCCTGGATCCCGCCAGCCTGGCCTGGAGCTTCTTTTGCTCCTCGCGATGTCGCGTGAGCAGCTCCCTTTGACGATGCTCCAGTTCCTGACGTTGCTTATCAAGCTCTTGCTTCTTCTGCATCTTCTCCTGGTGCAGTTTCTGAGCCTCCTCTTGCTTCTGTAGGAACTCTTCCATGTCGAATTCTGGTTCGGCCAGATGCTGTTCTCCGCCAAGGTCAGTGCCATCCGCTCCAGCTGCGGCAGCGGCTTGCTCGTTTTCGTCCTGATGCCAGAAGACTCTGACAAAACGATTGTCAAAGATGGCCTTGGGAGAACGGTAGGCGGCGTTGGCGGCCGCCCAAGAGCCATACTTCAAAACCGCAAGCCTTCTCTGCGGTTGTATCCAAATATCTTCAATGGTGCCGAATTCCGAGAAAAACCCACGAACAGACTCTTCAGACATGTGCTTGTCGGGGATATTCTCCACAACGATTGTAGTTCTGGTTTCGTCAATGGCAGGGCCTTCCGCTGAGAACGAGGCTCGGTTCTGACGCCGCCGGCTCTTAGCCCCTTGACGACCCTTTTTGCCACCTCGACCGCCTCTCTCGGCGTTGAAAGCCTCCATCAGCTGCTGCATTGCCTGGAAATTCTGCGACATCATCATAGCTGCAGCCTGGACATCGAATTCTGCGTAATGGTCAGTCTATATTCTGCAAGGTAGAATCAATGAGAACAAGAGAACGACAATGTAGCTTTCAGTAGTCAACCTTATAATAAAATTTGTAAAGTCATCGCATAAATGCTCGGACGGAGTTGTCATCACGCTACGAGTAGGGAAAGAAGAAAAAAAAAAAAAGTCGTGTGAAACTTACCACTCAGTTGTGGAGGCCCGTTGGTAGCGTCGTTGGCTGGCAACCAGATCGGCTCAGAGCCGTGGTCGTACTGACACGAGCTTCCACGGGCGCAATAGCCTTTGGTCGCGAAATCACGGCATTTCTGCCTGTTTCTTCTCGGACCTTGCGGCGTTCCATATGGAGGCACCTGAGAGTAGGCCGGCATTCGCGGCGACGCGTCGCGCCAGGCCTGAGGCCCGGTGGGTGGCTGAGGGTTGTGGGGGTCATACGGCGCAGGCCCGGCTGGAAGCTGCGAATAGCCATTGGGATATGGTTGATTTTGGTACTCGTCCGTGCCACCATCTCCTCTCGTCAAGAAGCTTGGATCCCATTGGTCTCGACGCGGCTGCTTGTACGCTCTCTCGGCGTGACCGCTCGACGCGTCTGCGTCGCCTCTGTCATAGTATGAGCGCTTTCGCGAACCAGTCTGAGGTGATGTGTCGGAACGACTTGTGTGCGAGGAATGTTCTGTGTAACGGCTTTCGCCTGCAGTCTCGGATCGCTTCTTGAAGGAAGGAGGTGCGCCGGGCAGGTAAGACTTGTACTCAATGACGCGAAACAGTTCGTCGACAAAGTCGGGTGCGGTATCTAATTCGCTAGTAAGTGGACACATCGTTCGGAGATTTTTTCTTGATACTTACCTGTGTTGAGAAATTGCGGCAGCTCGCTTTCGCAAGCTGTACGAATCGGCGCAGCGTCCCCTTCCTGGGATGCGAGAAGAGCAAGGACATAATCTGCCAGGATGTCCGTCTCGGTATCAGAGCTGCCATGTGTTAGGGGAGATGCAAGGTATGACGGAGATGGTGCGAGACTGACACTTCGGGCAGCTTTTTCATGAGCCATGCCTTAAGCAAAGGCCCATCCTCCTGAGGAAAAAACATGGTAGCGGTTCGGACTGTGCCGGACCACGGAGTAGAAGCAGCACTGCTGTATCAATAAGTCTGATACTTATGATGTGTCGAAGAAATGGGACGAAGTCATTGTCGTTGTTCGGGGGGAAAACCCTCAAACGAACGAGATTTTCGCGCCTACCGGAGAAATGGATCGTGTGGTTGAAGACAGCAAGAGCGGCACCCAGAGCGAGGCTGAACTTTTTTTTATTTGCGCCTCGCTAGGACAGGCCCACTTTAAAACTAAGTGGGATCACTCCACGCAGGTCATAAGCCTCTTCGTAGATGTCCGTACCCATGCCTCTCTAATGAAAGCCTACCTTGCCGTCCGTGCCCGTCCAACGGGAGAACTTGCAGGGTCCTATAATGTCAAAACAGGCATAAGCCCTCGTGTATCAATTGTGCGATTCCCAATGCACATACGCATACTGCCGCTTACTGGCATTGTCACACTCATTCCAGGAATTGACATATTGAACTTGTTTGTCTTCATTCCGAGACTACGCAAAAGCTATGGAAAGAACCGGGCTCTTAATTTTTGATATCATCCACCAAACCCAGTTCGTCAAATGTGCCCAGAAAAGCACAACGCCATTTTCTATTAACCCGTGGGAAAGGCGTTTACAGCTTGTCGTAGTACTGGAAACAGTTAGCATCATGTCAATGTGAACAGATATCGAGGGTAAACTTACGTTCTCAACACCCGGAACCTCAGTCTTGAGACCCTTACGCTTACGCATCTCCTGGACGACCTGTCCGACCTTGGAGGTGGCATCGAGAGGAGAACCACCGGGCAGAACCTGCCAGTGGTCAAAGACGGACTGAGGGAAAGCCTGTCCGGAGGTGGCCTGGCGCAAATCGCCATTGAAACCGAAGGATTCCATGACGGGCAAGTAAGCTTTAATGGTGAAGAGAGGAGTACCAGGACGCTGCTCCTCGTTGAAAACGTGACCACGTCTGCGGGTAAGGACACCGTAGACACCACCCATGGCCTGCTCGGGAACCTGGATCTCGACCAAGAAGACGGGCTCGAGGAGAGCGGGCTCGGCAAGCAGAGCAGCGGCGTAGAGAACACGACGGGCAGTAGGGATGATCTGACCACCACCACGGTGGATAGCATCGGCGTGCAGGGTAACATCCATGATGTTGAAGCGAGTGGAGCGCATGGGCTCCTCAGCGACGGGACCCTCACGGGTGGCCCACTGGAAACCAGAGACGACGGAGTCCTTGATTTCGTTCAGGTACTGGACGGCCTTGGTCTGGTCAACGAGCAAGTTGGCACCAGTGGTGTCGGGGCCGAAGGTCCAAATCTTGCGGGCGTCGGTGACATCCCAGCCGAAGTCGTCGGCGAGGATACGAGCACGAGCCTTGAAATCGTCACGGGGGCCGATCTTGCCAGCCTCGATCTCCTTGGAGAGCTCCTCGTCGATGGGCTCGGCGATCATGTACAGACGGTTGTGCTTGTTGGGAGACTTGGACAGAGCAGTGATGCTGGACTTGCCGGCAACAGTCTCGCGGTACTGGACGACGGGGTCGGAGATGATGAGAGGGACACCGGCGTGGTCGTTCTCGAGATCGTTCAGGCAAATCTCCAAGTGAAGCTCACCAGCGCCGGCAACGACGTGCTCACCAGACTCAGACGTGTAGGTGAGGACGCAAGGGTCGGACTTGGACAGACGCTTGAGACCCTCAACAAGCTTGGGGAGGTCCTGGGCGTTCTTGACCTGGACGGAGCGCTGCACGACGGGGGAGACGGAGAACTTCATGACCTTCAGGTTGTGGGCGGTGTCGCTGGTGGTGAGGGTACCAGACTTGAGAAGGAACTGGTCAATACCGACCAGACCGACAATGTTACCGGCAGGCATGTCGTCGATGGCCTCGACCTTACCACCCATCATCAGGACGGTACGCTGGATGGCCTTGATGAAAAGGTCCTCCTTCTTGCCAGGGACGTAGTTGGGTCCCTGGATGCGGACCTTCAGACCGGAGCGGACGGTACCGGCGAAGACACGACCGAAGGCGTAGAAACGTCCCTTGTCGGAGGTGGGAACCATCTTGGAGACGTAGAGCATGAGAGGACCCTTGGGGTCACAGTCACGGATGGCAAGGGCAGCCTCATCATCGGGGGGACCCTCGTACAGAGTCTCGGCACGGTACTTCTGGGCCGTGACGGGGGAAGGAAGGTGGAGAATCATCATCTCCAGAAGAGCGTCGGCAGCGGGAAGGAAAGTGCGCATGACAGCCTTGAGGAGCTGCTTGCCCTCCTTGTCCTTGTCCTCAGTGGCGAGCTTGAGGTCAAGCTTGGAGAGAAGGGTGGTAACCTCATCCTTCTTGAAGTTCATGACAGCGGAGAAAATCTTGAAAATGGGGTCCAAGATGAACTGGTTGAACGCACGCTCCAGAGGCTTGCCCTCGTGGGTGCCCTTGCTCGTCCACTTCTTGGTATGCGGGTTGAAGTAGCTGTCACCCCAAAGTCTAGAGGAGAGGGTTAGCCAAAAATAACAAAATCAACAAGTTATGTGTCAACTTGCCTCTCCATCATCTTGTTGCGGTCAACACCGAACTTCTTGGCGTAGCGGACGGCGAACTGGCGGACGGTGAAGGCCCAGCCGTGCAGACCGGAACCGAAGGCGATAGTTCCCTTGTAGGGGTAGACCTGGACGTCACCGAGAGACTTGTCGAAGTAGGTGGAGATAATGACGTTGACGGACTCGATGGTACGAGAGAAGGACTGGTACAGGTCCTCCTTGGACACCTGAAGCTCGAGAAGAGCACGGTCGACCTTGTTGATGATGACGACGGGCTTGATGCGCTCACCGAGAGCCTGACGCAGGACAGTCTCGGTCTGGACGCAGACACCCTCGACGGTGTCGACGACGACGAGAGCACCGTCAGTGACACGGAGGGCAGCAGTGACCTCGGAAGAGAAATCAACGTGACCGGGAGAGTCGATCAGGTTGATCAAGAAGTCAGTACCATCGGTCTTCTGGCCGACGATATCCTTGACATCCTCGGGGTCGACGCCGTGGTACAGGGAGATGGCAGTAGACTTGATAGTGATACCACGTTCCTGTTCATCTGCACGTGTATCCGTTGCTCTTGCATCTCCTGCCTTGGCGGTGGAGATGATACCGGCCTTGGACAGGAGGGAATCGGTAAGGGTGGACTTTCCGTGGTCGACGTGGGCAATGACGGACATGTTACGGACGTTGGTGGGCTTGTCCATAAGCTGCCGGATCTCCTCGATCGTGAAGCTGTGATGGTGATGCCATAGTCAGCCAACTGAAGCAGCGATGAAAGCTTATCTCCGAAAAAGTGAGGTGTTGTTGCTGCAAGGCGGGGTAAGGAGTGGCATTGCTCAGCAGCGTAGGTGCCGCCCAGCGCGCCAATTCAGCATCATCAAGGAATTGCCCATCGCCGCGGTAAAAAGGGACAAAGCGCGGGCGAGATTGCCAACGACGAAGAGAGCAGGAGCAGGCAACAGGAGTGGACTCACTTGACCATTTTGACGGCGGTGGCTCGGCGAGCACTTCAAAAATTGGTATGTGTAAGGTTGAAGTTGGGCGAAGCGGGGTTGAAGAATTTGCCCCGCGCTCACAGAGTGCTGAGACCTTTTTCTACTTGAGAAAAGAGGCAAGCAGATAAAGCTTGTGAGATGCCGAAGGTTGAAAGACGACGGTTCCAGGAACGACAGGGGAACTTGAGCTCCTCTGCCACTTCTTTTATCGTCGGGGAGATGATGGGGAGGGCGGGATGAGGAGGAGAAGAAGAAGAAGATGAGAAAATTTGGATGTGGTGCAGGCTCTGCTTGAGGTGAGGTGGGTTGGGTGCCAGACGTTGCCCCGAGGGAAAAAAAAGTTAGTGCTGTTACGCCGTGGGTGCGTGGGCGCTGGCCCTCGCCGGATGAGAAAAATGGGTATGGTGGGGCGGCCAGAGAGTGAGGAAAAAAAAACCCCGCCACTCTCGCCCTCCTGCCATTATTTGTTTTTCCCACCCACCACTGACCAGTGCTCTCTCCAACCACAGCAACTGCAAAACATCACCCCTTCACCACCTTAGGTGTGTGGTGGGATGAAAGTGGGCACCTTTCGATCGCACCTGCTCATTCGGCCATTGAATCAGCCTGCTCGCCGTGGCGCCACTCCGTTTTGCTGCGCGTAGGATTAACACTCCGCATACATACGCTCCCGCCTGTGTTGACTCCTCAGTACCCAGACACCTACCTACCCACGGTTCACGCCTACCTGCCCGTACCTACTGAGCGACCGGGCATCGATGGCGGCCCCAAGCACCCCAAGGTAAGGTAGGGTGTCTAACGCCTCGTGTGCCTGTGCTGAGGAGCGATCCCTTCACTGGCCCTTGGAGTACTACCTACCTTGCCTACCTACCTGCCTAGGTATGCGAAAATGGAAGGGCAACAACCCTGGTCCCCTCGCACCAGAAAGTCCGGACGGCGGACACGAGCTTCAGTGTCTCATCAGACACGGGGCGCTGCTCGTCCCGGGGTCTCGTTATTGGCGTCGCCAGCTAGACGCATCTTTGACACATAACCCGTTTGAATTAGACCAAGCTCGATGCTCTCTCGCCTTAAGATTTCCTGCTGTAGACCATCCAAACCACCTAAGTAATCCTGGGATTGTGGTTTCAATGGAAAGATCCAAAAAGCAGCTTAGTGTGGCAGACTGTGTGAATCCAAAGCCCCGCCCTGGCTGTGTGATCAGCACCCCGGCCCCCCCCTCCTTGGAACTCGACCCCTCTGTATGACCGACCCAATGACGACGTTGACCGAATTAACTCTGCCCAACTGCCAGCGTTATCCGGCAGGGAGTCATCCGCCTTCCGCCGCAACTATTTATTCAACCGGTCGGCGGCTGAAACCAAAGGATTCTGTGAATAAGGGCGCGCCGAATGACTGGATTTCCAGACCGAGCTGTATCTGTACACTTAGTTGGATCCGGGCCACGCCACAGAGCACACCGAGAAGGTCTGTATTGATGGCGGGGCAAGGTCTAGTCACATGATGCACTCTGTGAGGAATGCGAGTGGGATATATGATTACTAAGATAAGACGGTACTTCCATGTTCACGTCTGGTGCTTATTATTAGTGTACTTGCGTGTGTACGTGAGGCACTCATCAAGCTCATTCCCCGCAAACTCCCTTAACGCCGAACCAAGACTGCAAACAACCCTCAAAGCTTACTTACAGTACACACCGAGTGACTCAACGCCGGGTTTTATGATCCCAAGATTTTCGAGTACGCATCTTCCACCTCGCCGGCCAACTCAAGTAGAGCTACGATGACGATCTGATGCGTCAGGTTGGGCAGCCGGTCTCGGTGAAGGCCAATCCATTCTAGCGGCGGCGTTGCCTCTCCCATATCCCTCAACTGGGGTGTCTCGATAATGGGCGGTTCCAGTGCCACATAGTCGTACTTCGACTGCGGCACGTTCACCTCGGCCGTGATCTTTTGCTGCGATGAGCCTCCCACCTGCTGCTCCTCTGTATCTGGCACGCCCGTCACCTTGATGGCCGTGAGTGGGAGCTCTTTGCCCCAAGTCTGCTCTAGCGACTTTGCGTGATTGGCCCACATCCCCCTGATGTAGCTGATGCGCGAGTAGTTCCATCCCACCTCGACTTTGCCCTCGAATGCGCTCTTGAAAATGTAATCGATGCGATTTTGATTCGGTGTTTGCCATGTCTGCATGACTGCACCCACCTTGGGCACCTTCAAAATGGTTCCACCTCGGGACCCTGTGGCTCTCTCAACCACGTCCTCCACAGAAATTTCACTAAGCGTCTTCGGCGCCTCAATATTTCGGACGCCGGCGAGTCCAATACGCAATTGACCGAGCGTGAGCCCCAGGATGCTGTGGACGCGCCGCTGTTCAATGCTTGCAGCAAATCTTGCTTCCGCATCCAGAGCTTCCATCTTGAACACTTGGTGATCCGAGAACGTGCTCGGAAATACACCAAGATTCAGGGCCTTGAGCGTCACCACAACATCGGTGTCGAGGGAGATAGGTGACTTTGACAACGTGTCTTCCTCTCGGAACTTCGGCAAGCTTGTCAGATGAGGAGATGCCGCAGTGTTCCCATAAGACCTTCTTCGCATGAACTTCTCGATTTCTTGCAAGGACATTTCAAAGTTGGCCTTTCGTTCTTGTATCAGCTTCTGCACTGCTTGGTAAAGAGCAACACCTTGCGCTGCAGATGTCGTGGTGCCAAAAACCTGTACCGCGTCTCCGTCAAAGATGGCCACCAACCGGTCTCCGCTGCCTTCGAGACTGCGACGAACGTTGTACATGAGAAGCTGCAGAGATGTGATGTCGGCTACGAGGAACGCTTGGTAGTCGAACGCTGCCTTCACTCGAAATTGGCTGAAGCCAAGCGATGCTTGAACAAGAGGTGTTTCGTTGAGCGCTTGCTCTCTCTCAGGCCATTGGATTGACGTCCGAAGCTGAAATTTTTGGAGGGCAATAAATCCACTCAATCTGCCGGTGCAGTCAATGCCAATTCTCTTGAAACCAAGGCAGAGATTTTGCTCCCAGTCAGATGTCTTCTTCGATGAAACCCAGAATTCTTTGATGGCGAAAATGGATTTGCCAATGGCTTGACCCATATCGACGCTGACGTTCAAAGAGGCAATCGATACTGTTGCTGTCCAAGGGAACGCCGCAGTTGCAGCCACCTGCTGGTATCTTTGAACCAAGTGGCCTTGCGACGTTTCTGTGTTAAGCTTTGCCACTGGGGCCGTGGTCGTGTTTCGAAGTTCGTTAGGATACCAGATCTCGCGGAAAAGCAAGAAGTCTTGAAGCTGTTTGGCGTTGATTGAAACATTCATAGGGCTGACTTTGAGAATAGCTGACACGCCACTGGTTCCGCTGACGTGTTTGCTGTTCATCAACGATAGCACAATCGAGTCAACGTCAAAGCTCCCCGTCGACTCTCGAGAATATACATGCTGAACGGACGCTTGGAGTTTGGAGAACGCGCCTGATATGGAGAAGAAGTTGCCTTGTTCCACGGACCGCACGGTGTTGACGGTGAAGTAGATGTCGTCAAAACAGGTTGTGGCAGCAACGCGGGCGATGGGCTGACAACTGAGTGAAAACTCTTGACGACATATCCGAAGACCGAGGTTCAATTTGAGACGACCAATGACGGCGTTCGGGTCGGCAGTAAGAATGTTATCCTCATTGCCAGGTTTGGACTTGGATGCTGCCGGAGTCTGAACCGCCGGAGCATCTGTGTCCTTGCTAACAACCTCTTTAACGCTCGTTGTCATATCCATGATTAATGGCACAACGGAGGGATACAAGATATTGCTCGATGCGTCGATCTTGATTTCGCCGTACAGGGAAGGATCTTCGCGGCCGTTGTCGCGATACTCGAATTTCCAGGCCAAACCTGGAGTCCTGAGCACAGTGCTGCTGCCGGAATCATCAGTGCTGAACTGGCCATATTTTCCGGCCAAGGATGGCCTGCCAGTTCTTGAACTTCCACGAAGCCCATCCGTCGGTTTCTTGCCAGACACGTAAACCACAGCACCCGAGAAGTCAGCGTCTACCAAAAGAGATTCTAGACGTTTGGTGCCGAGGACACTGCGTCTCGGGGGAGCCGGCTCTTCGACCTTCTCTATCTTGTCGACTTTGAGAGGAGCTGTTCCTGTGGTCCAGTTTTGTGATGCACGCTGCACATTCTTGATCGAGAGTCCGATGGAGTCATTCAATATGGCCGCAGGAATTATGAAGCCCGAGGTTAGACGAAGATCAAGCGACTTGCCAACTGCCTGGAACGCTAAGCGGCGCGTGTTGGGGTTGGAGACATATGCGATGTTGAAGACGACCTCCGGGAGCAAAGCCGAGTGAAGAGACCTGAGGCTCCTGTCTTGACCCGGAGGAACCATTTGAAGCTGGAAGTTCTCGATGGTGAGTCTAGCTGACTTTGTCTGGCGTGTTCCAAAGCTGACCAATTGAACTGATAGGATGAGGTCTTCCTTGCTCCCTGCAAGTGGCATTAAGTCGTCCGAAGGATCTCCAACGAGCCAGCAAACTTGAGTGTCGCGCACTTCGAATCGGTAAACAATAGACGAGAGAAAGGAGTCAATAATGTCCGGTTCCTCCATCTCCTCTTGATCGTTGATCGCAATGCGTGGTCTGGTTTGCCTAATTTTGCGTAGATACTCAAGCTCTCGAGAGGTATCGAGATCTTTGATTTTGTCACCCATGTAACCTAGCGCAGCAACCACCGTTGATACAGTCTCGGGTGATAGATTGATTTCAAGCCCGTCGCTCCTGAAGTTGAAGGATCGCTCTTCTCTGCCGTCCTCTGTGGAACGTGTGTTTGCTGAAATCAGAGCTCCCAGCGCAAGGCTGCCGCAAGATCTCATCGCGTTGTCTTTGCCCTTCTGTACGTCAATCAAGATCTGCCGCAGGTTGACATGTAGCTCGGGTTGCGCCAAGATTGGCCCGTGGGACTCGTGCCGATTCGAAACTTCCAAATGCACTCGATCCAAGGCAAAGGACAAGCATGCGGTTGGGTCGTTTTCTGAGACTAGCGGTGTCTTTCCAAACATTTCGATGCCAGCCAAGGTGAGATGAATTGTGTAGACAAGATTTGAAGTCGACGGTTGCGGAGAAGTCTCCTTGGGCGCGGCAGGCGGCGTCTCATCGAAAATTTCGCTGATATGCTCTTGGATGGCCTTGGTGCTCTCTTGCAATTCAGTGACGGCACTGGAAATCTGCGGTCTGTTTAATGCCCGCAGCAAGCTGTAAACCGCTGAAGCATCGAGTTGCATTAGCTCCACAGAGCCGAATACCGACACTGAATGCTCTTCCTGGCCCATATGGCTAACAATCCGGCCATTCGTGGGTGGAATGCGTAGAAGTGAAATGCTGCGAGGCTGATTTTTTACGTCCATTCGGATCTCGTGCGAGTTCTCCTTCACGTCGAAGTCGAAGATAAGCTCCTTTCCAAAATTGGCAGCCACTGCTGCTCGTGCCACAACGCCAGAGATGTTGTATGTCATGGACTGGAGGAGTGGTACGCTTATGAGGTATTCGTCTAGGAACATCGCAACGTTAACCCGGAAAGAAGAGAGTCGTTCGGCTATCTTGATGCTATCGCGCCGAGGCGCCGGTGACTCTGGCAGCTGCTTTTGAAGCTTATGAATTTGGGTAAACTCGTCCTTGACCAGATAATCGACCACTTCCACGAGAAAGAGAGGATCTTGCTTCACAGCCAGAGTCAAATTGCGACTGCTGGCCGTGGATTTGATTGTGTGACACGACGTAGTGTCGGTCTCTAACAGCTCGTGAGAAATAAACACGCTCGGGTCTCTCAATTGGAACATCCCCAAGAGCTCGGATCGATGGTGCAATCTTGACGTAACTGCATCACAGCTCAAAATGAAGTTGATGGATGAGCCGGTCTTTTCGTACCCATCGATCAAGCAAGATGCTTTCAGATTGTGGCCTAGGGATGTAGCGCTTAGGTTGATGGTGTCGATTTCGACAGACCCACGTCCCACAGCGAGAACAACATGGAAGGCGTCCTGGGACTTCATCTTGTTCTCCGAAGGCGTGCTCTGTCGTGGCTCTTTTCGTGGCTTTGCTGCCCGGCTCGATTTGTTGTATAGGCGGAGAACGTCTTCAGCTAACTCGCAGAGCTCCCAATTTAGCATAACGGCCGCTTCGCCGCAGTAAACGTTCAGAACGGTCATGTTTTTAGGGCTCTCCGACTGTTCAGGAGAAACGACAATCTTCCTCTCCAACCTCGTTGTCAAATCAGCGAAAACGATCCGGTTTTCCTTCGGCCCGGGATCCAAAAGCAGTTGTATGTCCCTCAACCGAAGAGCAGCCAGAGTGGGTAAGTCAGGCGTTGCAGAGTTGCCAGTAGCGTTCATCTGACCGTATACGTTTTTGATCAGCTCGGAACCTGCTACGTCATATAGATCCCAGCTGCGCCATCGTTGGAAAGCATCGATCACTCGTTGAGAGGCATCGGGTAGCGGAGTCACCGAGCCAGACAAACAATTGATTTGCAGATCGTCCCTAAAGCTGGCTGGCATTCTGGTCCATATCTGACGCAGCCGGGCGGCCATCTTCCATGAATCATAAGTCCGGAGATGTTCTGATGCCGATCGTAAGACCGCTGAAGGGCGCGTCAGAAAGGATGGATCGCCAACTGGATGGCCATCTGTCATGAGCTTGTAGACGAAGTGCTTGATCCGATCCTCATGTAGAGACATGGTCTGGCTTAGCACCTCTCCTAGCTCTGAAGCAACGCTGCCAGTCCGATGTATTAGCGAAGCCAGATACTCGATCTTCTCCGATGCAGTGCTGCTTTTGATGCCACCAATATCTGCGTCAATGTAGGTGACGTCCTTTGAGCCCAGTGACAGCATTACCCGCTCGATTTGGGCCATAAAGGCTGCTTGGTTTTCTTCCGCCCCGGACAATCGCTCCGAAGCAGACACCTCGGCAGATCCGAGCTTAAGCAGAACCGATGTCCTTTTGCTGCTCTTCACCGGCTCTTCTGGGTCTTCCCAAGCCTCACTTGATCGGAGACATAATGAGAGTTTTGACAACGACACATCATACTGGTCTTGTTCCTCGCCTCCGGGATTGAGATGATCCATAGACGAAGAGTTTAGAAACCGGATGCTGGCTTTGGGGATCCTGAGCATAACGTCCGTGATCTCACCCGCAACCTTCTTCTTCTTTTGATGGTCGAAGATGTCGGTCATTGAAGCGATCTGTAGGCTGTCGAGAATGCTTTCCGGCTCACTTGGCTGCAGTGCCGCAATGAGCAAACAGGCATGCCGTACAGCAGCAGGGTTAAGAAATGCGGTCACCCCGGAGGGTATTTCGATTATGATGCTGTTTTGAGCACGGTCTTCTGCCAAGGAGTCCGGGTCGATGTCATCCAGGTCAAATTCCGAGAAGCCGAACGCTGACTGCTTTTCGTCCATCTCGATGCTTTGCATGACAGCTTCCGATGTATCTGGCCGGATGCTCTCGAGAGGGAATGGTGGAGTGTAAAATTGGCTGGAGAAAGCCACAGACGAGTGGTAGTTCGTATCTCGTTGCAAATCCCCGACAGCACTGTAGAATGCGGAGTGGCGACCAGTCGAGGCTGAGATATCACGTTGGTGTTGGGGATATCGCTTTCCCACTTCAGGGCTGTCAGGATAGAGAAGATCAGATTGCCTGGACTTCGCCCGTGACCTGACTGAGCTTCTTGGCCTCACCACGCTGCTGTTGCTGGAACTAGTAGTGGCGGTGGACAGGAAGGAACTCTTGTGGCGAAGACGCCGGCTGCGGCTGAAAGTTGACCGGCTATCAAAAGATCTTTGATCTCCGATAGCGCCGTCCAAGACCGTTGGATGGGGGACTGGCGGGAATCCCTGGGCAGGAGGATCTAGTTGATCAGGGAGCATCTCCTCCAAGATGCTGGGCAGCAGCAGGAATTCGGTACGGCCTGTCCGCTGATCTTCACGGCGAATGAGTTCCTGTTGCAACTTGCGCTGTTCAGAAAAATGGAACTTTCTTCCGATTATGGCCACTCGGATAGAGGCTTGGAAAAAGGCATCAGTCTCAACGCCGTGCTGAGCTTTCCACTTGTGTCGCATGGCAGACTCGGAGTTAACACACGAAACCTGAATATCGGGGATCTTGATGTCTGCACGTCTGGAGTAATGCGTTCGAGCCCAATCATTGAACTTGACGTCTAGCGTGCCGGTGGAGAAAAGAAATGCTGCGTCTTCCACATGACACCAGACGCGAATGGCTTGCACAGCTACCCTCAAGAAAGTGACATCGTACACAATAATTGATGAAAGCGGTATTAAGGCATTCTCGTCGTCGTCGAACTCGAACGCAAAGGCCTTGCCTCCACTGATCAATGCGGTCAGAAAGTCGGTCGAACATTCGCCTGAGACTGTCCCAACAGAAATATCCCAATTACACAGGTATGTCGGTTCTGTGGGAGGGAGTCCAAACAAACGATGGCCATAAATCGTGACGCCGTCGACGAAGATTTGCGTGCTTGATACTGCACTTATTGGCGTCTCCATGCCTGATTCTGTGTTTCCGAGAGACAGGTTCAGAGGATTGAGGTTGACCTGCAGATCCATGTAGTAGTTCGTGAAACGGAGATCTAACGACAGGCCAGCAGTCTCGATTTGAACGTGGCGCTGGCTGGAGTACAGATTCGCAGGCAGAAGTATGCGAGGGTCATCAACCTTGACACACAGAATGACGTCTAAATCGTTTGATTTCTTTGGCGGCGGTCGTGTTGCCAACTCCGCGTCGGGATTAAGCTCTTTCGCTCTTAAAAGTTCCTGATACTCTTCCAGAGTTTTGAAGTGAATGTAGTCTCCGAGGTAATTGTCCTTCAGCACCAGAAAGTATCGTATGAGAAAGCCATACAGGGTTATGGTGGGCGATTGAACACCCATGTTCAGGGTCAGTGTATCAATATTGGCTGGCGACGTCGTGGCGTTGTAATGATACTTTCCGTCAAGCTCGAAATTCTCACCGTGGCCAATCTCTTTCGATGTGATGAACGCGGCTTGTGTGTTCCACGGTGGCACATGCAAAGACAATTTGAAAGCCTCCGCACCGAGAGCAAAAGAGACTGCGTTGACGCTGGGCCGAAATTTGTCGATAGGAATGCAAACATTCGTTACCAGGGACGGGCTCTGGGCTATGACATACGCATTATCGTCCAAGTCAGTGGGGTTGTTGATGATGTTGCCGTCGTTGATGTTCAGATACAACTTGACGTTGCGGAGGTCCAAGTTGAGATAGTATCTGAAGGGAGTAAACACCAGGTACTCGGCTGGCGGACCTGTGGCCCAGTCGTCGACCAAGTCAATCAGAAGGAAGACATGGTCCCTGAGGATGAACAATTCCAACTCGTCTGCGACGATGTTGAAGTACCAGGATCTCAATGAGTTCCACTTCAGGGGCGTAGATAAATCGCAGGATATGCGCTGAGCCCCTGAGCGCCACAGGAGCTCATGATTAACGCTACTTGCAAGCTCAGTACTAGGTAGATCAACGTCTAACTTCATCTGATACCCGGTTGCGCTGGCCAGCATGTCCATTGTGAACGAGATTGTCGAATTGCCAGGGACGATGAAATCAAGCCAACCGCCGGGACGCAGAGGGGCAGCATCAGGCTTCATGTCTTTCTTGGCCCGATTTCGTTGTTTCCGCCGTTGCTGCTGCGGGGGTGTCGTTTTCATGGGAGGCTCCTTTCCTTTCCATCTCCAGTTCTTGGAATCCTCTCGTATTGGTATGCGTAGTGTCATCTCTTCGTCCAATTCGACGTACAACTTGAACTGGGTGGGAACACGGTACGCACCCTCTGCAAGAGGGACCGCAGGAATTGCGTCCTTGGATAGACTGGGCACAAAAACACGCTGAAGATCGGCCCTCTGGCGGTCAGCCCATGGCCCGTAGTTTACAATTCCACCCTTGATGGCGAGGATCATTCCCCAAGCAGGGGCTTCATCGCCATTGATGTACGTTGCTGCGCTCGTCTCTTTAGACTGTCGTCTCGCGGCTTCTGCTGTGACCTTTCCGACAACGTCCCAGTAGATTGTCAACGTTGCCTCAGGACTGTCTACGATGGTCGACTCGGCGGCGTATTCTACGCCAGCCCAACGCAATCTGGCATCCTGTTCGTCCTCGTCAAGATATCGTGCCAAACCTTGCCAATGACTGGACCCAGGTATCTGCGATACGGCTGTCGTAAGAGGGCTCCTTGAACCCAACGAGAAGGACTCGACCGATTTGCGCCAATACGGTACCAGATTCCTCAAAGTGCCCAGTGCACGGCGGCGTTGTCTCTTGAAAAACGATGTCTTGTAAGTCGGGCTAGGTTCCTGGGCTACTAGTTTTTCACGACTTGCCCTAGTGGCCTGGTCCTCTTTGAAGTCGTCATTTTCTCTCATCTCTACAATGGGATGCTGGAATTTGATCTTGAAGATCTGTTTGTACGGGTCCGGCGTTGACGTTTTTGAGGCATCAATTTCGCCTGACAGTCCATCGGCTTTGACAATCAAGATGGCCTTCGTGTTGTCGTTTCCCAAGACCACCGCCGCTTTTTGGCAAGTAACGAAGATAGGGAATAGCTGCAGCAGGAGGGGTAGGTCGGAGTCGGGCTGAGTGGCCTCATTGCTTCCTTCAGGCACATCAGAAGGTGTGCTAATTTGGCTGGCGGAAGAGCCACGGCGACCTAGAGTGTTTCCTATTCTGGAAAGAAGCGCAGCTCCAGGAGCTTCCTTTTCAGGGGCATCTTGTGAGCGATCTGACTTCTCGGATTCCCTCTGCCCTCGATTTCTGAGAGAGGCCGTCTCTTCTTTAGACTCGAAGGCCGATGACACGTTCTCGGCAGCGGTCGGTTCCTTGAGTCCAGCCAAAACGCTGTCGTATGCCGGGCTTCGATTGTAGATGAACCACTCCAAGCCAACCAGAGACATGGTTACTCTGCAAGGAAGGTTTGAGTGACGGCCATTTGTGAGAAATGATGCCTGTTCAGCTTGCTGCTGTGCCGAAGCTTTGATGTCCACCTCGCGCACACGGCGCAACCAGTACCTCCAAGTGACGTAGCCATGTTGAACGAGAAAGGTTTCGTTATTGCCGTGATACCGCAGGCCGGTGAAGAATATGCGGCCGCCGAGAAGGGAGACCTGTAACGCCTGGATGTCGAGGTAAATGCGGTAGCGGTGCCAAGTGTAGGTGCGTATGCCCCACGAAAGTAGGGATCCGAAGGCTCGGTTGAAGTAAAGGAGAAAGAAGACGGCACTGGAGAGAGTAAGCAATTGGTCGCGTTGTTTTGCCAAAGAGTTGTCGATTCTCACAGAGCAGCGCAGACGAGCATGTAGGCCAGAAACTCCCTGTAAAGATCAGCGGTCAGCATTGGCTAAGCATTATCATGTCAAATCGCGTCAAGTACCCGTTGAAGGCTGGCGTTCCCGCCGGAGCGGGATTGGGCTCCCCTTCTTGCGCCATTGCAGAACGGGATCCTCAGAAGCGGCAAGACTCAAGCGGTGGCATCGAATTCAGAGGGTCTCGATCTGCTCTGCTGCCATGTCTCTCGTGTGGGTTCAGGTGTTCTTGGTCGCAGGTCGCAGGGGAGATTCGTGCAAGTGTGGTGGTGTTGTCCGAGGAGCACCAGCACGGGGCTAGCAAGCAGTCGCAAGCAGTGCTAGCAGTCCGCGAGATGGAGCATTTGGAGGGGATCGCGTTCGGACTATGGGGGATCAAGAAGTCGAGTCGGGTTGTAATGTTGAGCAGGCAAGAGAGAGCGTATGCGGTGAGGTGTGCTGCGGTCAGTTGTGGCTGGTGAGGTAGGTAAGGTAACGGAAAGCTGGGACGGGATGGAAGCTCGGGATCCAACCAATGCAGATCAAATGCAAAGCGCGGGTGCCCACGGTTAGTACCTTAGATAGGTTCATTGATGCATGGAAGGCGCCCGGACTGTGAACCAGCTTCGTGCCCTCCAGCGCATCCATGTGATGGGGCTGTTGTCTCGCGCTAAGGGCCTGAGGTAAGTACCTAAGGTAGGCGGGAGTGGCCCTGAGGCAGGGACCCGGTATGCCGTACGTTGCCCTGCTGGCCGTTTGCAGTGGATCATCGTACATAATCAGCTTCTGGAGGCGTGGGAGGTGGAAGACTCAATGTCCCCGTCCCCCACATGTCACGGCCTGGTCTCTGACCCCAAGCATGCGGTGAAACCATCTACCCCAGCAGCCCAAGGGAGCTGCCTGCCGACTGTCTGCTAACAATTAATAGGAAGCTCTAATTAAGGTATGTAGTTGGTGCTGGCGAAGGGTCTGGCCCGCCTGACGTACATCCGGTACGTACCTACCTCCAGTTGTTGCAGGCTGCAGCGACCTGTGCTCCTTCACGTCTGGCAGGTTACACTTACGCAACACTTTACGAGTGCAATAGCAGCTGAGGGCAGCACGGTCTATCGTCATCGCTGTCGCTGTCCGTCGCCGTCGCGTCTGAAGGTCGCAGCTCCCCTCTTCAAGTCTCGCCCACTTTGCCCTTGTCCCTTGCTGTATCCGCATACCTTACTCTTTGCTGGCGACAGGTTCATTTGTGGCTGCGAAAACCACCTGCTATCGGCCGCCACCGCACGATACTGCCCGTTTCGCGCGTCTCCCAGTTCTTCTTCGACCTGAGCTTCCTCGATGGCTTCTATCTAGGCGCACGACTACCATCACCACAACCCACCGCACTTGACGCATCTCTCCGCGCCGCAGACAATATGGCGGGCGGCACGGGCGAGAAGCTGACCACGGCGACTATCATCGTCTCCGGTGTCGCGGCCTTGATAGCGACACTTTTGTCTGGCGTGTGAGCATAGCCCTTGGTCCTTCTCAGGACGATCAGAGCTGAGGCTAACATACGCTCCATAGTTCCATCTTCCTGCAGTCGTAGGCCGTCCCGCGATCCACTTCACGATGCCCAGCGATTAATATGGATATAGCAAAAACTATCGCAAGCCTCTGCTCCAGCGCTATGTCATTCGGATACTGCTCATGTACGTTGGCTTGATGTCGTAGCAGAAGCGTCCGCGTCGTTGACTGGCTGTTTCAGGGTCCCCATCTACTCCATCGCCTCATGGACGAGCATGGTTTCCACCACGGCTGCCTCGTTTCTTGACCCTATCCGTGATATCTACGAGGTACACCTTATTCCAAAGCTACAGCCTTTCCTATCTGACATTCCCAGGCTTTCACCATCTACACTTTCTTCCAACTCCTTATCAACTACCTCAGTGGGGAACGCGCTTTGATCATCATGACCCATGGCCGGGAGCCCGTTCACCACCTTTGGCCCATGAATCATGTCCTCGCCCGAGTCGATATATCAGACCCTCATACCTTCCTCGCCATCAAGCGCGGCATTCTTCAATATGCATGGCTCAAACCTGTTCTCGCTCTAGCAACCGTCATTATGAAGGCAACCGGAACCTACCAAGAAGGATACATTGGGGCGGAGTCGGGCTACTTCTGGAGCAGCCTGATCTACAACATCAGTGTGACCCTCAGTCTGTACTGCCTTGGTCTGTTCTGGGTGTGTATGCACAACGACCTGGTTCCTTTTCGCCCTGTGCCCAAATTTCTGTGTATTAAACTCATTATCTTTGCATCCTACTGGCAGGGATTTCTGCTCTCGATTCTCGTTTGGCTGGGTGCCATCCCGGATAATGTCGAAGGCTACACCCCCAGCAACCTGGCTGCGGCCATACAGGATGCTCTGATTTGCATAGAGATGCCTGCGTTCGCCATCGCCCACTGGTATGCCTTCTCCTGGCACGACTTCGCTGACAACAGCATCCTGTCTGCCAGGATGCCTGTCAAGTTCGCCTTCCGTGACGCTTTTGGCGTCAGAGATCTGATCGAGGATACCAAGGAGACCCTCAAAGGCGACAAGTACGGATACCGTGCTTTCGACTCAGGAGATAAGATCATGGCCCACGAAGAGTCACGCGCTAGGCTTGGCAGGCTTAAGGAGGGCATGCGGTACTCTAGGGGCGGAAAGGGAAAGTACTGGATACCGACACCCGGCCAGGTTGACCGTCAAGTCAATCGTGATATGAACGAGCGGGATCCATTGCTCGTGGGAACTGCGGGCGGCCCGAGCGAAGAGTACAACTATGCCAACGGCACTTTCAACGAAGACCTGGCCAATGATCCCCAGATTGACCCCGATGAAGAGCAACTCTATACCAAGGCACGCGAGCTAGAGTTTGGTGATTGGAATGTAAGATAGACCCCAAAGCGACGTTCATGCGATTACTAAGCTCATCTAGTATCCCGTAATCACGGCGAGTGAGCCGTTGAGCAAGCGGTATATGTCTTCTCAGGGCAGCTTGGGCTTTGCGTCCTCATCTCGTTCCACCACTGAACATCTCCGCCGGTCTCCTCGGCCTGACCAACCGATAGTAGTTGCCAGCAAGAAGAAGAAGAAACAAAAACAGAAGCAAGAGTCTCTTGAGAGATTAGGCTCAACACCATCCCCGATTCATTCAGGGTCCGGGCCGTCAACCAAGCAGCAAAGTCCGGCTCCTGACTCTGCAAGAGCACCTGCCCCGCCCGTTCAACCTGATACATCCCCTGTTGCTCAACAAGACGCAGACAAAGACTTAGAGTCACCTCATCTACAAGAAGCCATGGCCTCACCTTGGGCGGAGAGCGAACAAGAAAACGACTTCAACAACAACTTTCGTGTGGGAGATGCAGACGATTTCAAGAACGTGTGGGGCGGAGGAGAATCCCGTTGATCAAGAGTAGAATACAACGTTGCTTTTCACAGGTACATTATGAGTTCGATACCCTCACTCCGCATTCTATGTTTAAAGGCAATATTGGCATAGCGAAGGAGTTTGTGTGTGAAAATACGAGTCGTTTTTGCTATCCAGCACTTACCACGAGTCCTTTGTGTAGGAGAATACTCAAATGTGTGATTGTGCGTGAAGAATGTCGACGGTAGCTGTGTGATTTTGAGAATTCAACACAGGAGACACTCATAGATTGGCAAGAGATTTAGTGAGCAGAGCGGAAGATACACATTCTCGTTCCGCTCTAGCCAAAGCTAGCTCCACCAGTATCGGCCACAAGACGCAGCAAACTACCATCCAATGGCATCTTCACCGCGACGCCACCAACGCCTTCGCCGCTGCTGTCTCAACCTCGAACTGGAGCTCGGCGAGTCCACACTAGCCGGACTCGGGGGCAGCTCTCCCGTCGCCCACTCCTTGGGCTGTGTCCCCAGCTCGAATTCAAGCGAGCCTCCTTCAGCGAAGAGATCGTTCCATGTCACCCAAGACTTGTCCCATTCCTCACCGTTGACGCGCAATGATTGCACGTAGAACGACTCCTCGGACCCGCCCGTCGACGTGATGTTGAGCTCACGGCCGCCGCCGAGCAACATAGTCAGGTCTGAGAACCAGGGAGAGCCAACGAGGAACGTCGTCTGTCCTGTCAAGGGATACAGGCCGATCATATTCCAAAGCAGCCACGACTCCATAGCTCCAGCATCGGAATTTCCGGGCAAGCCGTTGGGGGCGGGCTTGTAGTAGGATTTGGCGACGAAACGCGAACGTTCAACACTGAGGTGCTGCTTATTAACAAAGTTGAATAGGTACGGCGTGCCAAAGCTAGGCTCGTTGCCTGGGTTGAAAATTGTGTTGCCGAATTGGCCGTTGCCCTTGTACTGTCCCGGTTCGAAGGTTTTTTCGAGCCTGTCAGAGTAGTTTTGCGCTCCGCCGACAAGCTCGATCATGTGTGCGGCATCATGGTGCGCGTTAAACGAGTACTCCCAGGGCGTAGCTTGATAGTATGCCTCCGCCCAGTAGCAACCACCGCAGTCAAGGGGGTCCTGTGACGGAAAGCTCCCGTCCGAGTTGCGGGGGCCCATGAAGCCCTTGAAGCCAAGAGCCTCCATGTTCTCGTTCCAATGGTTACGCCAGTAGCGAGAGCGCTTGAGGTACTTGTCTGCAGTATCCGTCAGACCGAGGCCCTTGGACACCTGGTAGATGGCAAAGTCGTTTGTTGAGTACTCCACGGCGCGAGTAACAGCGCGAGCAAACGTCGGGGTAATGTACCCATACTCTAGCCAGTCCGGGATTGCGCCGCGGCCTTCCTTGGTCGAGCTGGAGCGGTCACGAGGATCGTTGTTGTTCGGTGGGGTGATTTCTCCGTTCTTGAGCATGGCAGACAAACCGTCATTCCAGTCGACCTTGCCGCGGACGCCCTTTACGTACGCGTCGGCGAGGACGTTGTCGCTGTTGGAGCCACCTTGTACGGCACCGTTGAAGAAAGAGGAGCGGGCGTCGGAGACGTAGCCCTCATGGCGCCAGATGTCAATCATGGAACGGATGAACTCTTCATAAGCCTCGGGTTGGAGGATATGAAGGAGCGAAGTGGTGCAACGGAACTATGTGGCCTATTAGCTACATGCTAAGTCAGAATCTCCGCGCGCGAGACTTACAGTATCCCAGAACGTAAAGATGTCATCATAGTACGGCTCCTCGGAGTTCCAAAGGGGGTTCTCGCCTGTCTTGTTGGTCGGAAGCAGGTTCATGAAGTACAGGGCCGTGTACAGCTGGGTGAGCTTTGTTGTGTTCGTGTCGGATGTCCTGACTTTGGAGAGCACCTCCGTGTTCCACGCATCCCGAGTGTCTTGCCTCACAGAAGCCAGACTCTTGTCTGCGGGTATCTCCGTATTTACATTGCTGCAAGCTTGGGACTCGGAGATGAATGAGACTCCGACCCTCGACTTAACGGCAGTGTCTTCGAAAGTGAAGATGGCTCCCAGCCGCTGGGTCTCGGATTCATAAGTCGTCTCTACGCCGTACTCCGAAAGCTCAGTCGATGTGAGGTCCTTACCGAGAAATGTTTTCCAAGTCGGCGTGCTATCAAAGTAGCCGCAGAAGAATACTTGCCATTTCGCCGCGCGGTTCCAGCCCTTTTGGGGGTCAGTCGAGGTTCCTGGGTCAAGTGGCATGGTCGGCATAGCTTACGTTGTCATAGTATCCGTAACCTTCGTAGTGAAAGTCATCGCCTTCCTTGATCTCAATTTTTCCCCCCAAATAATCTTGCCCCAGACCCTGTCCCCTGTACGATGGCAGGACATGGGATACGTCTACGATTACGTTGGAAGAGCCTTTGTCTTTAGGGAAACTATACTGATAGAGGCCGGCTTTTTTTGTCGCCCCAAGTTCGACGGTGACTCCAGAGCTGAGAAACGATTTGTAGTGGCCAACCTCAGTCTCGTCGGGCTGCCCCCGGGTGTCGGTGTTTTGGCTCAACGGGTTCTCGATGTCGCCTACAACAGGCATTTGGTTGACGACGCCATACTTTGGGGCACCTCCAGTACCGGACTCGTGCAGCATAGAGAAGCCTATGAAGTGGCCATCGGGAAGGTATCCAGAGTAGGCATCGACCCCGTTCTCAAGGTCAGGCCCTAGCTTGACCATGCCCAGGGGCCTCGAAACCCCGGGGAACGTGTTGCCTCCACCCACGGAGCCAGTCTGGGGATATGTCAGTTGACCGAGCCTACACTAGCTCCAGGGCTCAGGAAACTTACATCTGTCAAAACATAGCCGGCTAGGTCGGCAGACTGTGCTGCCACCGTCGACGCCAAGTGCAGAAGAATACCACGCCGCATTTCCCGTCACAATCGCAAGGTCTGATAACTTCAAACTATTGCGGGAAAAAACAAAAGCAAAGGCTCGTGCCAATCGAAGTCTTGCAACAAACCTTCGCCCACCTTGATGTATAAGTATATTTCCAAAGCACAATTGCTCGTAGCACTGGCACCTGGATTGCCCACCCTGGGCGAGTCTCCGAGTGACGGGTCCAAGTAGGAAGGCGGGGAAGACGCGACTCTGCTGGAGATCTGATAAAGCAACGAACGACCCAGATCTCAAGAACAAGCACGAAACGACGTTGCAGGAGCTCCCACGAGGTAAAGACGACGTCGTATTCTAGGCTGTAGGGACCGTGGTGTGGGTAACGAGGGACAGGCAACGTGCCGCAACGAAAGACTGTGACTGGACGAGACGCTTTTCCAGGATGGCATGACAAGACCCGGGGGGGGGGATGATAAATATATAGAAGATGGCTACGGAGGTGAGGCAGAAAGCGGTGTTTAAGACAGCCGCTGGATGGCAGGCTGCAGATGACGGTGCGGTGCTCAGAGCGTGAGTGCCGCGAGCCGCGCAAAGTCTTGGTGTTGACGGATTCGTAATGGGGGCTGTTGGGCTCATTTCGCGGCATTACTTATCCAGCTAACCCTTCGCTTGTTGGCCGTCCCGTCTCTGATCTGACCCCTCCGGGAACGGTACTTGGCCAAGTTTACCTAAGCGCCCAACGAGACTAGAAAGATATCCCAGGTGCGCGAAATGTAACCTTTCGACATATTGCCCCGTCGGATAAGCGCTGCGAGGGAGGGGAAAATTCGGGTCTCGTCGGGGTTGCCTGTCTGTTTGGCCACCGCATCGTGGAAATGGGGGCATACAGAGGCTTGATGCGCCGCCCTGAAGGTGTCAAATATTAACGTTTCGATGTGCAGCCCAGCCAACCAACGAGCCAACGCCCGGGCCGAACGGGTTGGCATGTTCCAGGTCTTTGAGCAATCTGGGGGCTAGATGCCGAGACCCGGATTCTTTTGGGGAATCTATGGATCGGAGGGAATCAAGGTTACTGACGGCACCCCCCCTATTCCGTTACCGTTAGCGTCAATCAGACGTTCTCGAGGACACGGCCGGAGACACTGAAGCCACTCGGCCCTCGCATGTGGCCTGCATTCGGCCCCGTGCCGGACAGGTTCCACTAAGTCACGACAACGCCGAGACTTGCACGTTTCTTGAGAGTCCCCAGGTAGCTCAGGTACTCAGAGTGGTTTGAAGTGCCCCCCAACTTAAGGACACGAGCCAGTGCCACCCGACCGCGGAGGGGAACTTTGCGAGCCTACGGGTCAAATGCGCCAATGCACGCGTGGAAGACTTCTCAAGACCCCTCTGTACGCCGTACAACGCCATAGAAATCCGGTAGCAACCGACCAGCAGCCTGCATGGCAACCTACAGCTGCATGGCATATGACAACATCTGTACAACGGGAATCGAAGGGACGCGCACGTAGAGCCAGAATTTCTACTCTTTCGCTCTTGAAAGAGAGGAATGAGAGCAAGAATGAAGCGTTCGGAGACCTCGAACGCCTACGAGGCGTGGGTGGTCACGTATTGTATGGCAACGGCAACCGCAACGCACTTACGCTGCTAACGATGTTGGCCGAGACGGGCACATCTGGTGCCAGCTGGGTGAAGCCGTGCTTAGCTGCCAATCACGTGATTAAACGTCCCCACCATCATTAATCCGACAGGTGGACGACGGGGTGTTCCGGATTATCTTCATCCAAATTTGGCACAGAGCGGTGTAAAATTTTGGCAGAATTTGTGAATTGCATCGCTCTCTCCAGGTCAAGCAAAGACAGATCGATCGTTGTCACGCGCTGGAATGATCCAGGCAAGGCAATTTTTTGCCTTCAATATCTCCAGACTGCCACGCCGACATTGGCACCCATTCTCTATATATCAGAGCGCTGATCCGCTGGCAATTCGCCCATATCGACACAGAGGGCAGAATTTCAAAGGCGGTCACCGCGACTCTACAGCGAGCCCGTCTCTCAACCACTCGGTCTCCGGCGGTCAACAGTGCATGCTCTGTCCCGTAAACCAGCACCTCTGAATCCTCGGCCTGTGAACTCGGCTGGGGGCGTTCAGACAGTCATCATGGGCAGAAAACCAAACCCCGTCATTGGGGAGTATTTCACGAGGGGCCCCAAGTTGGCCGACTCAAGTAACCGATATCCCCATACCTGCAAGTTATGCGGTGAGAACTTCCCCAAAGGCCGCGGCGAAGTTTTGCACAAACACATTACCGAAAAATGCCCCGCCATAACACCAGAGGAACGTATCAATGCCGCACTCGGATTTGCTGGTCTTCACTCAGGCGCGTCCGCCCCGCGGTCCATGAATCTTACTGTCAACCAGCTTGATGCTGCAGCCGCAGCAGAAGTCGCGACTGAGGCCCCAGAGAACTGGTCCGCGTTGCGTACCCTCGCAGAAGCTTCGCGTCAGGTTGGCGAAAACGAGATGGGTGTTCCTCAAGCTCCAGGACGAGAAGTCGCAGATCCGACCGCTCGTCAAATGGGCATGGGCATGGGCATGGGCTTTGAGGTCCAGGAACAGTTCACCTTGGAGAACCCACCGGTGAGCTATGAGAACAGGCCTGCTCGTGAGAGAAAGGGTGAGTTTTGCTTCTTTTTTTTCCTCCACCTCCTTCACTCCACCCCTTACACCCTTCGAGAACTCTTGTTATCCTCTTTCCACGATCCTCGTGGCCAAAAAAGAAAAACCCAAAAAAGTCTCCTCACCGTGAGTCGAGATTAGTGCAAGTGGTCAATGCTGACTATGTGCAGAGTCGGCCTCCCAGGAAAGCGCCAACCCTCTGAGTTTCCTCACCACTGAAGAGAAGATGGAGCACCTTCAAGCAGCGACGCAGCAACCCGCCGCCAATCCTCTAGACACTTCGGATCTTTCTGTTGCTGCCGCTGCAACCGCCCGTCTCACTCACAACCTAATGGACCCTCAGCTCACTGCCGAGCATCACGAGGCCCAGATCGTAAGCCCCATCATGTCGCCAGCGGAAGTCACCAACACGATTCCCGACCTCAACAACGCTACTACTCCTCAACAGCCCTGGGGGGAGATGACTTACATGACTACCAATCACAACCCCACTATCGCGACTCATGTCGCTACCATTGCACCTCCTAACAGAGGCGGCACCAGAATGCCCATTGGCAATGGGACTTCGAGTGAGCACAAAAGAAAGGCGTATACCCCGGTCCGACGGAAGGAAGTTCAGGCTGCCCGAAAGAAAGGTGCTTGTATTCGATGCCGCATCCTGAGAAAGACCTGCGGCACCCATGACCCCTGCGACCAATGCCGCAAGATCCAAGGCCCCCGTCACTGGACGTATCCTTGTGTTCGAACTCGTCTCAATCAAGAGTTGACCCTCTACTCAGCTGCTTTGATTGTTGTTCTTGCGCAAACTAGAGTTAAGCAGGCCAGGCAGTCCTACCAACTGCTCTCAAACGGCACCTCTCTCGTTGTTTCCTTGTGGGAAGACAGTCCTAGTCTCAGTCTTGCTGCTCTGGTCACGCCTCGTCAGCCCCAGCCCGAAACAGTCCCTGAAGGAGCAGAGCAGCAAAACGGAGATGGCCAGCCTCCGGAACAACCTCATACGCTGTTTCAAGTCGTCATGATCGATCAAGACAAGGAAGACCTTCCAGCTCGAATGGAAGAGTTCTTGAAGCTCATTTTGCCCACCCTTATACAGCGTGAGCCTTCCCACTTTATGCAAGTGGTCCTGGACTCTGCGCAGAAATTCCCAGGGGACAAGGCTACCGGCAAAATCTTGAAACTTGCCATTGACCTATGGGGTCTTATTGAGATTCTTGACCGTGAGCGCGGCTGGTACATCTCTGAAGAACATCAAGGTGTTGTCGTTCCCCGCGGCCCTGAGGACTTTGCAGGCAGCGACGATCAGGATATCTACAACCTGATAACATTCCAATTGTCCGCAGCGACCGAGCGCAGAGCGAACAACGTCTCCAACAAACTGATTAGTGAGCTTCAGCGGTGTCTTGAAAACGGCAAGGCCAGGATCCACTTTGACGTGTACCTTTCGATCCTCATCCTCCTGCACTGTCTCGAGAAAACCACCTGGACCTTCAAGGTTTGGGAGATGGACGACTTCCGCCAGCGTTGGCCTCTGGACCGTCCACCCTCATGCTATGTCAACCAAGGCCACGAGATTGCAGACCTGTTGAAGATGCTGCTGACCCTCCGGAAGGCCCATCCGAAGACATTCCGGGCACTCGACGGACGCTTGACCGTACTCGACATTGGCGATCCCGACCATGCTCCAGTGGTGGAGTTCTTCAATGCGCTGAACCTTGACTGTAAGACAACTTTTGTTCCATTGCCTCTCTGCTGTATCACATAACTAACCCTCTGGCCTCTGACAGACGACGACGTCGTTCGCAAGTTGGAAACCTGCGCCTTCAGTCCAGAGACATCCCGCTCTCTGGAACTACACTTTTGCAGTCACGTTCTGCTTCCGCCGAAGGAAGGAGAGAGCGCAGCCGGTCACCACATGGGTGCGCCCACTAGCTCCGGCCATACAACACCTCCACCGCCTCCAACCTCGGCTCCTTCAGCTGTCGGCTCCCCGACGGTCACTGACACCCTTCCGACAGTGCTCGCCTAGTACGGCGAACACGGCTTTTTATCTCTGGAGACGAACCCGACAGTCCCAGAAAGAAGGCGACAAGAGAGCGAGTCGATGTGTGACTCCTATGACGAATGAATGGATGAGAACGAAGAAAAGCGAACCGGCAATGAAACCTACCCTAAGGGAAAAAAGAAGGGGGAAAAAAGAAAAACAAAACCACGAGGTATGATGCCATCAATGACAAGAAGAGACATAACGATGTATGACCTATCCTTCACTTCGATACTCATGTACGCATGAACCAAAATAGGGAATTAGACAGGGAAGAAAATCGGGGGCTAAGAAAAGAGGGAGAAGAAAAGAAAAAAAGGCTGGAGAAGGCACCACAGAACTTTGGCACGAGAAGCGCAAAAGGACTGGCGTTTATGATGTTGGGCCCGATTGGGAATGGAAAAGCTCTTCTTGGCCTTTCGAGGTATACGTATATATCGGAAATCATCAGAGAACACCAAACACGGAATTCATAGACGGACCTCTGTTTATAGATGGCTTGCAAAAATCCGTTCGGTCGGTCTCCCATGGGGACACACACACTTTCAAGGAGGATTTGCCCGTAGATACCCCTCAAAACCCCTGCCGCAAAAATATCGACACCTTCATGACAAAGCACTTCCAAGTCACTTGATAAAAGCTCTCACGTGCAACTCTGTTAATGCAAAACATAGGGCTATACGACATTGGACATTCGACATTGGACATTCAACATTGGCGCATACGTCCTGCGCCTTTGCAAACGTGAAAACCTTCCTCTTTCTCGGCGCGTCCAAAAGCCCTGGCATTATGCTTCGCACGGAGCCTTCAAATCTTCGCCTGCGTTACTCAAGAGACACATGCTCCTTTTCTCCTACGATGCTGTCGTGAGCTGCGCCCTAGATTGCTTGGTTAGAGCTCATCCGTCATCAACATCAAGCGTGACGATACGGCTGGCAACAAGCAAGTGGTCCATGAACACGGACAGAGCTTCTGGGAGATGCGACAGAACGACTCAGTAATATATAGGTCTCCAGCTGCATTCCGGAGGAGGCCTCTAGCCCTTCGTAATACTAGCGGCAGAATCTCCCGTTCCAGTGCGCTGAGGACCCATGCCAGGACGCTTCGGCTTGCGGAAGCACGCAAATTCGTTCTTGCTCGCCTCCCGCAGTCGCTTGAGCACGCTGCGCATCTCTGGAAGTTCACTTTGCAGCCGAGCGCGCGCGTCGTTGTCGGTGCGTCCGTCAAGTTCCGAATAGATTTCACTTTGGAGCTGGGAGGCGCGGTCTGTTGTGTACTGACTTAGAGTCTGGGCCACAAACTCGACGTCGAGGGTAGCCTGCATTAGAGCCTCGAGCGTATACCGTTGCCGAGTGCGGAATGCCTCGAGGAGCTCACGACTGGTTTGCTCGAGCAGGTAGGACAACACTTGCGAGGTGAGAGTCGGGGCTGTTGTAGAGACCTGAGTGTGAACAAGAACAAGACTGAGGAGAGCCTCGTAGACGTAGGGATTCGCCTCTCGTGGCTTCTGTCCCGTCTCGGGAACCCAATCAGGTGCTGCAACACCGGCTCGTACAATGTTCCTGAGCGATTCTATCGATGGTCTAGTGTATGATTGGAAGAGTCTTGCATCGATCTGGCCCAAGACGTCCTTGATCGTCTTGGACTCGTCGCTAAGCTTCACCGAGAAGGCGTTCTCGAACTGCGAGTTAAGATTCGGAACAACCTTGGCTCGAAGTGCTTGCAGGTTGCTGAGGGTGAGGAGCATACGGACATTCTACATAAAATTAGCATGGTCCATCGTGGATGTGCATGTGAGCGGCTTACCCTGTCTCCCGCATCGAGAGTCGCCCTTCCGCCTGTAGGGGCGGGTGGGGCGGTGGTGGCGATAGTGCCGTCAATATCAGTCGTCCAATCGTCATCAGCCTTCTTGACAGATCTCTCGGCGTTTTCCACCATACCGCTCAGCGCCTTATAGAGCGTTGTAACGTATTGGCTTCTCACCATCTGCAAGAGCTTACTAGGCGGTGGGAGGACGATATCCCCCGCACCAGGCTTGGACATGGCTTCAGATATGTAAAGAATTTTCTGCATGCCTGCCAGCAATGCGCCCTCGAAAGCTGCAAAGCTGGAGGGCATCCGAGTGAGGTCACCCAGCTCTGGTGATCGGTACCAGTCCTCGACGTACTTGATGTTCTCGGCGTCTTTATTCCAAGCAGCGCATAGCGCGGTGACACATCTTTCTCGGGAGACGTTCACCAGCGACTTCAGCCTGTCCAAGACGCTGGCATCTGATCCATTCACAACGGGGCCGATGCTCGCCAAGTCGGACGCTCCAGATCCAACAAGAGCAAGCATCTTGGAGAGATAATGGACACCGCTAACAGAGTTCGACCACGGAGGCCAAAAGGCCAGCTTTTCCCAGGTTTCGCCGCGCTTGGGCGAGGGAGGGGGAATGCTATTAGGATCCAGGTTAAGCCGGGGATCCCGCATGCCAGTTGGCGTTCCGGCAGAAGCGGACGGGGGGCTCTTAGGTGACATGGGTAGGGGCGAGAATAGAAGCGAGATATCCTCTGGTGGCGGGCCAGCGAAAAAGGAAAAGACGGTTTCCCGAATCATGTCGATAAGTTCCAGTGTGCCTTTCTGCAGGTCTTCAGCTCCTTGCTCCGTCAACTGGTGATGTTCTTGTGACTCTCCGTTGTAGCCTATCGGCATGGTCCGCTGAATCTTGCCATCCAAGAAACCCTGTACAGTCTGCCAGAAATCCACGACCTCTCCCAGGATTCCTTGCGAGGAGAGAACATTGGACAGGTACGCCAGCATCTTCTCCCACAATTCAATAACGTCAGCTGAGTCGGCCGAGGCGATCTTGTTTTCGACGGCCACGCGACCCAGTGAACGGAGGTGTGATGCGACCGCATGGGGACCTGGCTTCTCGGCGTTTGCCAGCCGGCGACGCAGCACTTCGACTTCAACCTTGGAACGATCCGACGTCGATTGAATTTTGCCCTTGAGATAGTCATATCGGCTCAGTAACCAAACCCAGATCGGATTGTCGTCCACGCCCAACTCCAAGAGAAGACTTATCAACTCCATGTGCTGGTCCTGCTGGCCCAAATTGTCGGCCTTCGAAACGTTGTGTAGAGTGACAAGCTTTCGCCAGACATCTCGCTTGAACGATTGAATCTGCTCATCAACATCGTGCCACATGCGGGCAGCCAGTACGATCTGATAGAGCTGTGTGTCTGTTGAATTGGTTGCCGATACGTTTGCTGCTAGGTAGCGCGCATCGTCCGAGAACTTGCGCGCCTTGTTGTATTCTTCAACGAGACTCTCGTAGTCTCGGCGCTTGATGCTGTCCGCGATGGCGGAGCTCAATTCCACGTACTCCTTGAACTGCTCCAGGTTGGCCGAGACGATCTTGAGATTCTCTTCCTTTTCGCGACCTCCAAGAGCAGGGCCCCAAACATCCTCGGCCTTGGCGGACACGTCTAGCAGAGGTGCCTTGATTCCTGCAACGCCGTACTCGCTTTCCTTGACGAGAGCGTTCTTTTTCCGGGCGTCTGAAGTGGGAGATGCAAGATTGTTGGCAAGGGCGACGCCGCCATTGCTGCTGCGGAAGCTGCTTCGGCTAGCATGTCGAGAATGGCCTCGAGGGCGGCCGGTCGTTGGCGGCGGTGGTGGCTCCGCGCCGCGGTACTTCATCTCCTTATAGACATTATCTATAGTGGCCTTCGCCTTGACGAAACGCTCAAAGTTGGTTTCCACCAAGACCTTAAGTGATGCAGACTTTTGATCAATTGACTGAGACAGAACGTCCAGGCCGACCAGCAAGCTTTGAGTGTCGGCAGTCGCGTGCATCTGTGACAGAAACAGGGCGGGGGAAAAGGTTGTAGAGGAGAGGAGGAACCGATTGCCTAGGCATGGTGTTAGCATCGGGTCAACAGTCGCTGCATTTCCACCGTCCAGTCGTCTCCGTCTCCGTCTCCGTCTGTCCTACCGAGCTGGATACGTACGTAAACGAGGGTCGTCTTGGATCGGCACTCCGAGCTGGCGGAGAGTCCTGACGACGCTGTCGGTGGTGCCCAAGGGGTCAGGTTCATCTCGCTGGACAATATTGCCAATGCCGCCCTTCTCGGACTGCGAGCCGGGAATCATGCTGTTGCGGTTGCTGACAGCCCGCTCGAGCGCCTGGTATCGCGACTTGCGGCGATTCAGCTTCGCCTTCTCATCCTTCTCCTCATCGTCGGATCCACCGCTCTGGTTCTTTTCGTCGGGCCATTCGTTCGGGTACGGGTTTGGAAGCTGGTAGAACTCCAGGATGGTTCGCTCGTAGTCTGACATGTTTGGGTATCTTTGTTTGCTGTCGCTATTGTTGTTTGTGGTCGGAAAGCGGCTGGAGGTTCTGTGAGGGAGCGCACAGCTGGCAAGGACGTGGAGCAGCGATTCGTTTCAAATGCGAACGAGAGCCGATTCCATTGGCCAAAGGGCAGCTAGTCACAATGCTTCCCAGAAGGCACTGAAGGCGCCAAAAGCCGCAAGAGGCACCCGTGGACGTCGGTAAGCGCAGGGAAGGACTCGGTCGCAGATGTGGCCAGCTTCACTCGGTGATGTCAAATCCAGGACGGTGGTAGGAGCCGGAGCAGCTACCTGACTTCAGCTTAGCATATTACCTAACCTTACCTACCTACCTACCGGTACCTACGCGTTCGCACAAGCGGTGGGGTGGGGTGGTGGAATTCAGTGACCTGAGTGACCACGACCTGTCGGGCCGGGTGTGGGTCTTGCCGGCTCAGAGCACCGCTGGCCAGCTCTATGTACGGGGGTGTAGGTAGACCGGTACCTTCTTCTTCCACCGAGCAGCAATTGCGGCGCAACATCCCGACATTGTCATTCACAGACTCCGGGCTATGGTTACCGTAGGTCATCTTCTTGAATCAGCGTCGCGACGGGGAATCCAGAGATCCTTGCAGGCTCACGCTGAAGATTGATTAGCGGTGTCCATTCTCTTGGAGGATTTCGATTGCCATCAGGGATCGCGACGCTTGGTTGAATTCGCCCGCATGCCACCCAAGCGAGCAGACCGGGGGACTTCTCAAGTGACGCTATTGTGGAGATACTCTAGGTACTTGTCGGACAGTGGTCCTCCACGAACAAGGGGACTTGTCTTCGGCTTCGAGAACAAGTGGATGGCTAATGAGGGGAACGAGCGATATAACAGCAGACAGTGGCCTTGGCCAAGTGTGCCAAGCATCGCACCTATATTTCATCGTCAATGTCGTCTTGCCTTTGTCGGTGACGAAATCTCCGGGCCCGAGAGGGCAGCTGTCTCATCGGCCAATCCCAAGGTCAGCATGCTGCACGAAAGTCCGCGGTGGATGCACCAGACGAGTAACGCGCCTGAGCCTTGAGTTTCACCACTGGATCTTGTGGCTCACTCGTCGTCCTCTCGTCCGTGTCTGTCAAGTTGTCCAGTGTCTTTTGTCCAAGATGCTTGGCCTCACTTTTGACTCTACGGATACACCAAGGTATCCAGCCAGCAGGATCTAGCCAACGGGGTTTTGCGGAGCACCCCGGTCTCCGTGCAGTGGAAAGAGGAGCGCTACGAGAAACCCGGCCCCACTACCTCCGAGTCGTGACATGCGGCCAAGGCTTGGTTTCTTCCAGTCTCATGGGGTGGGCTATGGTTCACTTTGAGATTCGGCCATCCCTCGGACTACGGGAGGGACTTCCCAGACGAGCTGAATCAGGCGATAGCCTTTAACCTTGGGTTGGAGTGAGTATTTCCTCAGCTGTTTGCAGACCAAGCCTAGCTGCTGTCGAAGCATGTCTGCAGACACATCCAAGCACTTGGGGAAAAATGCGAGTCATTTAGCCAGAATGTGGTCTTGTCACCTTCCCGCCAGCCAGCCCCGTGAACCGAATCAACCTGAGCTGCTTGACGTGTGTCGGATCCGCCAGGCACCGTCCTGTCTCTTGAATGGGTGCCCCGTGCCAACGTGGATGGGTATGAGAAACACGTTCCATCTTTCCCTTGGCCGGCAATGGTCCTTGACCTGTCTCCCCATGGGGATCGCCAAAGAAGAGGGGAGGGAATGAACAGGCAATTACCAAGGGGTCTACGGACACATAACGCAGCGGTGCACGGGAGCGTCCATGGCGTGTGGTTTTCAGCTCTTCTGCCCGCCCGCCGATATTTGGGCGAGTTCTCCTCCAATGAAGTATTTTTGACAATGCTCCTGGGCTGCTTCACCTTACCAAAAAGTTGATACTGCAGTGCTGAGGATTTGAGCCGATAATGGGATGGGCTGGGGCATGGGGAAGGCCAGAGAACAGGCCAGTCCAGGCCAAGACCTGGCTCTTGACTTGGTGGAAGAATGGTGCATCGGTGCACATGAGTGAAAAGATGGGATGGCACTTTGGTCGATTCAGGCAGGACCAAGCTTTCGCGAAGGCTTGGCGAGATGTGGAATGCTTCTGGAAGCATTTGCTTCCACGCTTTTTTTTTCTCTTTTCTTTTTCCACGTTCAGCCCTCTTGGCATTGGGTTTCCTTGCCCTAGGTACTGTGCTGACAACAGCTAACCAGGTCTCGTCTCTGGTTCTCGGTATCACATAATGACCGTGAAAATTCGAGGCCGACCTGGATGGCGGATGCACCTCAGTGTGACTTTGAACCTTGGGTGGGACACCGTCCTCTGATCCTTTCGGCTGTATCAGATGCAAACACGTTGTGGGCGGAGGTTGGTGTGAGACGAGCAGAAATGAAAGCCTTGCTATGATGATCAGAATTCGAGGTTAACCACTCGCGGGAAACTCGGCGGGACTCGCTCGCCTTACGGCATCTACAACCTCGCTCTCGTCCACACACACACACACACACACACACACATTTGCCAACTGGGATGAAGCCTCCTCCCGTCGCAGTGGAGGACCTGGAGGCACCACTTGGTCCGCAGTTCAAGTCTCACCGCACATGCGGAACCCCACGCTAAGCGCTCCTCCTCATCTCCTCCAATGTTGACCACTAGCCAGTGGCGGAAACAGGAATGCGAATGGGAACCGATGGGACTGGGAATGTCAACGGGAATGGAACAAAGGAAGCGTGACGAGGCAGTAGACAGCGGAGGAACCAGCGCCAAGTGCAAGTCCTACCGATTGCTCAAATAAGGTATAAAAAGGACAGTACCAAGGTACGGATACTTGGTTGACAGTCACTGCATCCCGCGTACCCGTATACATCGGATTCAAGAAAAGAAGCTCCTGCAACCATGTCGGGTTTCCTTGCAGTGCCTGTGATTAGTCGACATCATGGCAGGACCCTCTAATGTCTGAGGTGCACTTGACTCTGGCCTCGGCACGGAGACACAGACCTGGACGGTAGACACAGACCCGGCGGTAGGTACGCGATACAAGGAGAACGGGGTGATAGGTAAGATGTACCAGATGGATACCTACATGAGGTGCCTCGCCGTCCTCAGTTGGGGTTTCTGGGTCCATGTTCTGCATCTGCATCTGCATCTCCAGTCCAGTCCAGTCCAGAATATCGCTCACGTCGGCTTCCCTTGCCTTGTCTGCCGGGCGGCCACTTGACCCTTCTGCAGGGGTGCTCGTACCTACTACCGTACCGTACCCAAGGTAAGGCAAGCTTAGGTGGTGTATTCGTAGGTACCTACATACACTATCCGTAACCGTAACCGTCCTTGTCTCTCGTAGCCCCGTCTCCCAAATCCAAGGTTCGTGGTTCTTTCCGTGTTGGAGCCCTTCGTCGCGCTTGTTCGTCGCAACTCGGCATGTCCAATAGCCCTGGATAAGTCGGCACTCCCTCTCAGTCTACATTCGCTGAGCTATTTTCCTATATATTGAAGCAGACTTCCCTCCCTCATCCCAAACTTTTCATGTCCAGGTCAGCCATCTTCACGCGTCTACCGTTTACATCCTGCCGCTCTCCAGCCCAGTCCAGTCTTTACTCCTCAGGGACCCAGCTCATATTTCATTCTTGCGCAAACAACAACATCAAACCGTCACAATGCCTTCCGCCGACGCTCAGAAGGGTCAGCTCCAGAATGTCTTGGAGAACAAGGGCATCAAGTTCCAGATCAAGTCCGGCACCGCCAAGTATGAGTGCCACCTCCTGGACCGCTCTACTCAGTGAGTTTTGCAACCAACGGCCGAGAAGTTCATGGACTGACATGCCACTTCAGTGAACGCATGAAGGCTACCAGAACCAACTCGACAGACACTCAGAGCAGCACGTCGTCTGCTTCCACAGTCAGCAGCTCCCACTAAACCACTTTCCCGAACGGGAAGCTGCGGCAAGGGGATAGGAAGCAAGGAAGCACGGAAGTAGGGCCTGGATGCTGCGATTGGCGGGGTTCAATCCGGTGTTGGCGGAAGCCAAAACCGCCACAAATCACGGCGCAACCACGGCGTTAAAAGCGCGCAGCGCATCCAAACAAACTGAGCAGTGAGGCGACACATTTTCAATCCTCGAAGCCTGGTCGGAGTTGACGGCACGCCAACGTGTCTCCACACACCACTACGACGCTCTCGGGAACTGGCCGTCCATGTTCCCGATGGTGTGCGTGTGCGGTCCTTGTCTCTTGCTCGATCAACCTTGAGGAGCGAGGGCGCGTGGACGATGCACTGGCGCAGCCGCCGGTCGGACCGGGATCGGGACATGGACTGTCACTCATCAATTTCATCTGATATCGATTACCTGCACTAGGGGGGCATGACAGGGTTTCCAAGGAGTTTTTAGAATCATGGCGTTGGTAGAGCAGCGTGCAGCTGATACCTATTTTGTTAGTTCAATTCAATTCATCCGTAGGGATTCAAACCAACATGTCCTTTCTCCAAACCGCTGCAGACCAGAATGCCGACTCCATCAGACCCTATTTTCTCGCCCCGGTCGTTCAACTTCCGGCGCATCCGTGGACGTTTATCTGCCGCTTTACCTGTGAGCGCCAATTACTGCATTCGATTAGATTAAGCACCCTCAGCAACCGGCCCCCGTGAACTTGCCCGATGGGATCCGAAGGGCTGACCGACCTGTGTGGATTCGACCCTCATCAACAGCAAGATGGGTGGTCGTCCCCAAAGCCCCCGATAACCATCGGATTGTGGGTTTCATTTGGACTTGCCGACTTGGTCTCAGGGTCCTGGGGCCTTCGCTATGTTCGTTTGATCCATGGATCTCGCGACCGATCGAATTTCATCTAGCCATACGATGACGACACTAGGCGATGCCGCTGGCCCTAGAATGCGAACCGCGCAACCACGTCCGAGCGTCGACTGCAGTCTGTAGACTCTCTCTCTCTGGCAAAGTCCCCGAGTAGGCCAGCTT